AACACGCTTTACAGTGACTTCGTTTAATGGCAGTGTGTGTCACAATTGTCTATAAAATAAATTGAAACAGGAATTTTGAGTAGAGGGCGGATGACTACTGATGAGGTGAAAAATTATTTGCACATAGTGGGGGATGAAAACTTGCTTACATGACATAAGGATGGCCCCTTACCCATGTAGATATTTGATTAATTTACCAGAATGTCTTGAATATCAGGGCAATGACTTATTGATTAAATTTTTAGCTTACTAAATTTGTATTAAAAAATTTGATGGACTTGAAGTTATGATAAGTTTGTTTTTATCAAATTTTATTTAAGTAATTTGTTAATTATTTTTTTTCACAGACCTATCTATTACTTATTATAAGGAAATAAAAACAAAATTATTGTTCATAGTTATGTTGATTGTTTTCGTAGATATTTTAAAATTAGCAACAATATGAATGTTAATAGTTTTTATGTCAGTTAATTGGCATCTCATATAAATGAAGTTTTTTTTTGTCTGTGTTGATTAATGTGCAGTGCTAAAGAAATTTGGCAAACTTTGATTAGTGGGCAGTGAGAGAGAAGTTCAGTCTGTTCTGATATCAGTGAAGTGTAGACTATTTATTATTGAATATTATTATGCTATTTAAGAAGAGTTACATATTAAACCCAAAGTTCTGTCCATTGGTTTTGAAACTCACTATAAAATCTAAATGATATTTAATTGGGCAGATTAATTTAAACTGCTTAAACTTACAGCAGGTCTCAGGGCAGCTGGTAAATTAGCCAAGGTGGGGCAGAAATAAAAATCTTAGAGGTCATGACGGCTCAATTAATTAACATAAATAAAAGTTCACAAATACAACTTGTGGGGTTAAATCAGCATAAAAAGATATAGGCTACTTCTGAAAAAATAAAGATATTAAAAATAACTGATTGACAACACCTGCCTTACATAGCAAGAACGAAAATAACCAGACACATTGACTGAATAGTTGGTCATTTCTTGTGTGTATAAGCTCACTTTCACTCATCAATTCAATCATTTTATAACATTCAGATCCCACTGGTCTATTCTCAACAGACAATCTTTGCTATGGCAATGGAAGTTGATCTAATTATAATATAGCAAATAAAGTTCTGGAAGCACATTTGAACAATGACTGTCATCAAACACTTCCACTTCTCATTAATTTCAATCAATAAAATATTTAAATTAAAAAAAAATATGTAAAAAGCTTTGTGCTTTATGTATTTAGGAAGATTGAGATCCACTGTGTTAACGGGTCCTGGTTTGAGCCCAGACCAAAAGATACCATTTAATTTATTAAATAAGGTTTGGCAGCTTCTTTGTTTCTTCGTAGTAATAATTAAGTTAATATTTAAATATGGCTGACAATGACAAGGGAATGGCCCAAACCATGGATCCAATCGCTCATCCTCACCTCCCCAAAAAAGGTAATCTACCTGTCAATATCCTCTTCATATGCCAAAACTATCGGACCATTATTCTAATAAGCCATCCAAGCAAGGTCATGCTGAAGGTCATATTAAAACCAAATGCTGACTGAATCATTGCTAAGGAACAGGCGGGCTTCTGACAAGGACGGCGCACTAACTGAGCAGATTCTAAACCTCCAAAAACTATGTGAGAAATATGCGCAACACAACCTATACCAAGTCTTTGTGGACTTCAAGAAAGCATTCGACAGGGTTTGGCATGCTGCTTTATGGGCCACCATGAGGCACTACAACATCAACACAAACCTAACCAGAATGATATGCAACCTCTGTGATAAGGCCACCAGTGCAGTCTTCCTCAACAAAAACATCGCCGAATGGTTCAAGACCACGGTTGGAGTACGAAAAGGCTGACTGCTCTCCCCCACCCCGTTCAACATCTTCCTAGAGAGAATTATTTCAGATGCTCTGGAAGCGCATGAAGGGACTGTCAGCATTGATGGCAGAACAATCACCAACCTACGCTTTGTAAACGACAGGCGGGTTGGCTGTGAACGAAGAAGAGCTAGCCAACCTGATAAACGCGTCCCGATAAGACCGCGTCATACTACGGCATGCTAATCAGTGCCCAAAAGACAAAACTGATGACAAATAACACCACAGGCATCACCACTGAAATTAAGTTCGGGGAGGAAAGACTAAAGATTGTAGGCCGCTTCAAATACCTAGGAGCAATAGTCTCAGAAGAAGGCTCCAAAACCCGAACTGGTGTCCAGGATTGCGCAGACTACAACAGCACTATAGAGGCTCAAGAAAATATGGAATGACAAAAATATAGCCCCCAGCACCAATATCAGGCTGATGCGTTCATTAGTCCTCTCCATTTTCCTGTATGCCTGCGAATCCTGGACATTAACAGCAGATCTTGAAAGGAAAATAACGGCGATGGAGATGAGATGCTTCAGAAGCATTTTTGGCATCTGCTATAGGGACCATATCTCCAATGATATAGTGAAAGAAAGGTTTCGCCAGGCTATCGGGGAGTACGATGACCTACTGGTGACTGTGAAAAAACGCAAACTACAATGGTACGGCCACGTAAAAAGGAAACAAGGGCTGCCAAAGAAATATTGCAGGGCGCCACAAGAGGAGGGAGAGGAAGACAATGAAAAATGGGGAAAATATACCTTAAAAATTAAACTAAAATTCACAATAATAGCATCTGTTTAATTCTGGAGCAGTGGACCAGCCCATTATTTATCTTGTACATTATTATTATTATTATTTAGGCATTTTGTTTATAGCACTTACCTTACAGCTCTAAGCGCTTTACAATACATCATGGAGAGCCTAGATAATCGTCTTCTTTCCTCCAATGGTGACCAGCCAAGTGTTTCCAGCATGCTGCCAACACTAGAGGTGTTCCTGTAACGGTTCAGGACAACGCTTCCAACCTGTTGACGTTTTTTTTCTGGCTGATTGGGTCCCAGACTGAAGACGCATAATCTAAAAGCGGCCGGGCAAAGGCTTTATAGCAGGGATCTCAAACTCGCGTGTCAACCCTGCCCCTGCCTACTGTTTGAACACATTTTAACGCTGAAAGCCTTCACGGAGAAGGATGGGTTGTTGTTCCTGTAGGATACCAAATGGCTCATGGACTTGGCTTTTCTTGTTGACATTACACAGGAGATGAATGCACTCAACAAGAAGTAACAAGACCAGGGGTAGCTTGTCAGGATTGCCAATGACAATGTCAGGGCATTCTGCACAAAACTTGTGTTATGATTCTTACATAAACCTCTGCCGTTTCTCAACATGTAAAGTATTCATGGACTCGGGCAAACCCTTTAGTAGTAAGCATAATGATGTCATTGCTAATCTACCGGAAGAATTTGATCACATGTTTTTAGACTTCAAAACAGACAGAGCGACTTTTCAACTTTTCGCTGACCCTTTCTCTTTCAATTTAGAAGATGCAAACACCCCCCCCCCCCCACTCACGCTTAAAATGGAGCAAACTGATCTTCAATGCAATTCAATTGCTAATCTACCGGAAGAATTTGATCACATGTTTTTAGACTTCAAAACAGACAGAGCGACTTTTCAACTTTTCGCTGACCATTTCTCTTTCAATTTAGAAGATGCAAACACCCCCCCCCCCCCACTCACGCTTAAAATGGAGCAAACTGATCTTCAATGCAATTCTAAGTTCAGGGAGGTGAAAGGAAAAACAGACAAGCATGGATAGTTAATGAGAACATTGCCCTCCACCTTCCCTGAGATTTCCAGGTTGTTCAAGCGGATCATGTGCCTTTTTTTTTTTGGAGTAGGTTACCTATCTGTGTGAAAAGCTCTTTGCCACAAAATTTAACAAGTCAAAGTACAGGGCCAAACTTACGGATGAGCATTTTCAAGCTACACCGATGGTCTCAGTTGCAGGGTTTCTTTCAGGCATACTTTCGAGGGATTGGGGGGGGGGGGGGGTGAGAAAAATTTTTTTTTTATTTAAAATATTCTAAATTTAATGTTTAAATTTTTTAAAGCAATAGATAGAAATGTGTGCCTTTCACAATTAAAATTAATGAAATGGAGCCAATAAAATATAGCTTTGCCTTTATTGATTAAATAATCCCAGGTTAATCTTGTCACAGGCTTACAAAATTCGAATATAAATATCGCGGTGTTTTGAAAATAGGCCGCTTCTGATCATAAGCTAAAATCTTACTTTTTTTTCACATATTATTATGTAGATTGGCGATATGTTCCACTTTTAATTTGACGTCCAATTGCTTTTGGCGTCATTTATGGATGGCCCCACAGTGTATTATCAGAGAAAACAGCAAGAGAAATGTCCTCTCGCATGCTGGATTGCGGCTAAGTGTTTATTTGTATACCCGGTATTGTTTCTACTGTTTGTTTTTTTTTTTTTTTTTTTTTTTTTTTGGGGGGGGGGGGGTTGTTGCACTGAAGGCTTCATGCAAAGAAGTTCGTTGTGTCCATTTTAAAGTTTTTCACATACTTCCGTGTCATCAAGAATCCTTCTTAAGAGAAAAAAAAAGCCTAATGAAAACAAGATAAAATAAAAAATAAACACTGAGATGCAATATTTCAATGTAGTATCCAAGTGGAAAGAACCAGGACGGTGATCAAAATTACAGGGATTATGAGCAGGCTTAAAGAAATGTGTTTAATACATCAACATCTTATTAAATAGGCAGAATTAGAAATGCATGTAGGCCTACAAGCATCATAAGAGGGTGAGGAGTATGGCAACATAGCTGAAGAGAGTAGAGAGTAGGCGTAGGGCAACACATAGGCTATAGGCTATCAGGTGGAATTATTTTAGAATAGGAGAAGGCATTGTATTTTTTTTTTAAAATACGCATTAAACTTAAAAAAAAAAAATGTAAGAAATTAAATTATTATACATTTTTGGAGCTTGAAACATTAATAAATTTTACCAGCTCCAGATAAAAAGAGCCCACTCCAGTCCTCAACGGCTTTGCAAAGTCATGCTTACATTTCGTTTTTCAAGACTGTGTTTAGAGTTTTAGTCAGCCCATCATTGTTATGGCAACGCAGCATGCGCATGTGTTTTTCGCTAGTTCCGGTCACGTAATTCCTAACATGTTTCTGTCAATAACTTGTTATTTGGTAGCCTGTCTGATCCTGCTAACAAACGACCTTTACCTTCGCTCATAATTAAATAGTGCCAGGCGGTCTATTTAAACCTTGTCTTGAAGATATAAAGACTGTTAAGATTAAATACTACTACTAAAACAAATTAATTTTGGGGCTTGCTTAGTCTTGGTTTTAATTCTAAGCAAATTGCAAATCGAACAATTTTGCAAGATGTGCATGAAAGTTAAATGCAGCAAATGTGGAAAGTTCACTTGGTCAGGTGAGTCTGCGTGATGCCACAATGGATGGCTTGACTTGAAGTTTTAGTTTTGTATTTTATTATTGAACTATTTATAAATACCTTAAATGCCCTAAATAACAACGTATGATTTACGTCTACTAGAATAACTTAAAAATTTAATAATTTAAATTTAAATTAAGGTCATTAAGGAATTAGGGAGGCAAGGACCAATTAAAAGTTATATATAATATAATAAGAAGAACTAGGATACCCAATAACTCATGATAATTTAATGCATTTTTAATTTTATAACACAATAGACAATACATGAGGAACTGTAGACAATACATGATGAGGAACTGTATTACCCCTTATAGTACCAGGCGTGTCTTTTTGCAGTGACCTACTTTTTCTGTGTGACCCAAGCGCGTCTTTTTTTCACTAGCCAATCGTTTTTCCTGTGGCCCAAGCGCGTCTATTTGCCATATAGAGGGGTATCTAATATAAACACAGAAATGAGGATATAACCTTTCACCACAGTCTTGGGCAGAATGTTTATTCGTTATGGGAATAGTCTAATTTTAATTTGCCTTTTAAATTATGAAAATCAACCGATTACTGACTTTTTTGTGCGGATCTGTATTTTTTGTTTCGAAGTCCTAGCGCTATTGTTGACATCTTAGAGGTGTATCTAATATAAACACAAAAACGAGGATATAACCTTTCACCACACGCTCGGGCAGAATGTTTATTTGTTAGGGAAAAAGTCAATTTTTAATTTGCCTTTTAAATTATGAAAATCTACCAATTACTGATTTTTTTTTGTGGATCTATATTTGTTGTTTCCATGGTGCTACCTAGTGCTATTGTTGATGACAACTTAAGCCCACTTGATGAAACCTTTTGTTCTGAGACTACTATTGAGCTTTAATTGGGATTAGATGATTCTGATCCTGATAAGAAAGAAGGGGATGAAATTGTAGAAGGAAATAGGCCTACTATAGCTCCACCTTTACATCTACGGGAGCCTGTAGTTTTGACGGATTTTAGACTAGTGTTAACGTAGATATTGATTTAGTAAGATTGACTGGACACTGCTAGCCACACAATCCCCTAGTGTGCCATTCCAATGAAAAGTTTAAACAAAACACATTTATATTTTTAACACCCTTATCCATTTCTGAACAGATAACTCTCCACATGTTATTATCAATTGTTTAAAACAAAAAAAATGACAAACAAATTTGCACACCTATCAAATTTTGGCTCATTCCAAAATAATGTCTGGGCCACAGGGAATAATTAGCAAAGGGTCGTAGCATTAGGAAGGTTGAGAACCACTGATCTAGAAATTTTGCAAGAAGACTCAACGACCGCATCGTCCTCTTCCCTGTCATAATTTCAGTTGGTACATGCTCGTTTCCCTCAACTGAAACTTGTGGATCTACAGTGACACACTGGTAAAAAAATGAAAATCCAACTTACAGTTTCATATAATACACTTTTACTTTTACACACTTTATTTCATGTTAAAAAAAAAAAAAAAATTGCCAGCAAATCAATAAAATAGTTAAACCCATTTTCCCAATTGACAAAAAATTTTAATTTTATAATAAACCAACCAATGAAATTTTAATGTAAAACATACCATTGTCATATTAAGGAAAAGTTAATTCATGTAACAAGACAAAGATGAAAAAAAAGGCAGAGAATCCTACACAGACACACGTTACCCAGTATGGCGCACATTGACCATAAAAAGTAATAAGTCTACCAATGACAGAAATGAGTTGGAAATGATTGTAGTTTGTAGGTTAAATTAAATACTAATTTGTACCTTGTACATCCCTAAAATTATTCTTTTTTATGTGTTGGGATATACCAGTACAAATACACAAATACACAAAAGTCTATATCTCTTTAGTAGGCTGGAACTGAAACTGTATGTAGAATATAGGCTTACTTATTAGATTGTTTTTATAAAGTCAGTTTGAGGTTGTACTACTACCGTACTGGAAGGACCCGGTAGTAATAACCTAAATAAATGTGCCAATATGTCTAATATACCATATGAGCTATGATTTTGATGAATGGTATGGACTATTGATGGTGTAATAGTTTATAAGATAAAATTTAAGCCTATGAGTATGAATAGGGCCTTGTTATGCCCTATAATAAATACATTACTAGTAGAGAAGATAGTAATTAGTAAGAATAAACACTAATACATATATATAGGTAGCTTCTAAAATAGTAAATAGAAAGGGCCTATCGTCCTATGTGGTAAGCCCAAATTTTTCTGCTAATAGTAAAACCCAGTATTTGAAATAGATTGCTACTCCTTTTTTTTTTTTTTTTTTTTTTTTTTTTTTTTATGTTTTTTAAGTTTTAATCAAGATTTATAGGCCTACTGGTAAATAAAATTTAAATTTTGCATTTCTTTAAATTTTTATAAGATTTATGTGAATATTAAGGGTGATGGACATGCATGATATAAAAAATATTTATTTCTATATGACATAGTAACCTAGTTTTTAAAAAAAAAAGGTTTCAAATGAGAATACAAATATCTTGGTTGGGTCACCCGATAATCTAACTTATGGCCTCTTATAAATTTAAAAATAAAAATGCATCCTTAGATATGAAAAATGGGTGTCATCATGGTTTGTGAATACCTGCTTGTAAACTTTTTAAAAACTAGCGTCCACTGCAAATTTCTTTCTGCAGGATGTGGAATGCACAAAGATCAAGTTTTAAAAGATGTTCCACTTGATCAGCGATGTCAGTGTCCCCGCAGCAGCTGTCAGATTCTGTAGCACATTTCAGAATAATCTGCTTCATGATAGCTATTGTGAAATTTAAAAAAATATCCAAAATACATGTTCTAATTTTTGTGATAAATACCTCTTTAACATCACCATCCAATTTTTTAAATTGTTACTTTGTGGTGAGTTGACATCAATTTCTGACATGTGAGAATCTTTTTAAGACTCGCAACTTCATTGAGTACCATTGCCAGTTTCTAATAATTATAATTAATTTTATAATTTGAGGCGCATACTTGATTTTTATGAATTTCCGGAAAATAAATAATTTAATTCTCAATCTGCTTTATTACTAATCTAGATTGTGATTTGGTCCCAATTCAAAGGTTTCATTGTATAATGTATAACCTTTCTATGCTTGAAGTTCATCTAAGCTATGTTTATATCATAACTTTTCAGTCTCTAAACTTTCGATGAGATACTGGTAAATATTTATAGAAATCAAATTTTCCTCATTTTAGGATGTGGAGCTCACGCCGAACAAGTCATGGCGGAAATTCCACCAGAGGAGAGATGTCAATGTCCTAAAGAAAAGAAATAGGTTAATGAATTTTTTTACTTTACTCAAGGTAAATACCGGTAATGTGTTTTTTAAAATTATATTACAGGAAGCTCACCCACGGACTTTCAATAGTATTCCTGAACTATGGGAAATAACTCCAATTTTCTATTATTCTTACCGGAAATGGATGGGGTTTAAGAAAAATATAACCAAAATATAATCAGCAATGACAAAAAACTGTGGATTTTTGACACCATGGACAGACAAGTGATAGAAATTTAACAATCGATTACCAGTATATGGATTATAAACAAAACAAGAGCAAAACTTCTATTTTTCTTCATTGAAAGCATACAGAAAGATGCAGAATCATGCCATGGCAGAAGTCAGGGTACACATGATTTGTTGCTGCTTAAAAAAACAAAGAGGTGTGTGTCAGGGCACATTTGGTCGTATCTGTCAGATGCCCAAAATTTAGAATTACCAGTAATCTCCAGGAATGAGTTAAAATCGGTATAATTGAATATTAGTAGCTGTATTTCAGTTTTTACATACCTATAAGAGATTACAGAGCTTTACCTCTGTAAGATGGGCAACAAAATAATTGTTTACTTGTCTGTCATTTTAAATTGCTTTGATTATTCAGCTCTTAGTGTAGCTATATCTTAATGTATGTATTTGGATCTATCCTAAGTGCAGAGAATTCCAACTCTTTACCAATAACATTTCTTCATTTCTACTTTCTAGATAAAATCGTGTATTAAAAGCTGATGTAAATAAATATAAAAAATGTATCATATCTATTTTCTTCAGGTTCAGTATTCTGAAATTCTCACATCAGGGCTGCTTTCAAGCTATGGGATTGCCTTGAGGATTCAGGCTATTTAGGAGATTTCCATGGAGTTGAATACAAAGTATACTTGCATTTTAAATCTGTTCCATTTGAAACAAAATAAAAATAATAAATGAACAAAATATGAATAATAGTCTAAATTTATTATTGTCAACTCATTTCTCTTTGTGTCAATTTTATTTATGTTTACCCAGAATTCTTATTAAACTTCCAATAATACAATAGTGAAGTATATAATGGACTATTTAAATTTATTTGGTTGACATTTTGTGAAAAGGTTTATCATTACACTAGCTGAAGATAAGATATCAGATTGATACTCTCTTTATGTTAAAATTCCTGTACAGGCCCTATACTTTTTATGTTGACTTCATGGAAATTGAAATACCCTATGTAATTTATTTTGGTTATGGTACCTCACTTTGATATTGCTTTACACATTTACACTATTCCAGCGTTTTATAAAGAAGAAGAATGTTGTGTTTAGCAGTAAACAGCTATATCAGTTTTTCAAATGAAGTGCTAATTTTTTAAAAAATCTGTTGAACAATTTCTGTAAGATTTCAATATTTTTTCCTGCTGTGTTCTGTTTAATGTTCACTAAACTTAATTAAAACTATTAAAAAGAAAATATTTTGTATTATTTTTAAAATGTTTTTATTAAAACTAAATTCAGGTATATTAAAAAATTGTGGCGTTTTATTTTTATTTACATATTTAAATTTAACTGAAGATATCGTTGAAAATGTATAGAATAAGACTTTGTGGGGTTTTATTTTGTTGCAATGCTTTCAGTTTCAGTGCACATTATTCACTCCTGCCATTTTTTACAATTGATTAAATAATAATTAAATTTTTAAGGTTCAGGAAACAATTTTCTATAATAATCTTATCTTTTTTTATTACTCTGGAGAGTACAGGGGTAATAGATTAGTTTGGGGGGAAGGGGGGGTGGGTTGTTGAAAGTCAGACTATAACTTGTAAGGGAGGCTTTATGCTCAGGGTGTCCTGGGTGGTAACTCCAAGTCATGCTTTTATTTAAAAGAACCTAATTAGAAGTATTGCTTCTATAAATGGACATACACCCAAGCAGTCCCCACAGACAAAAGAGGTTCCTGTCTGGATGCTCTACTGTAGTCTACAGATTTCTATAAAAAATATTTTAAAAGATTCCCTCTCATGATTTTTCATATGTCGGAGTTAAGTTCAGTTTTTATATCCAGGGTATCATGATTGCTTCTCAGTCTCTTCTTGAACCTTAATAATAATAATATTCCCAATTCCTCTCTATTGTAATTTCTTATTGATCTGATTTTAATTGTGTTAATTTAATTGCACGGTTAACAGCATAAGTAAATCAGAATTTAAGATACCTGAGAAACATGCAGGAACAGACCACAGAATAAAGACATATGCTGTATTTCTTGTAAAATTTTCACGAGTACCGGTATCACTAAATACTTTAACTTCATCTGCCACCGAACACATCACACCTATTTAACTGCACCATTATGAGCACTCATTTGTGTTTTTGACATTGTTTCTTTTAATTTGTTTGAGAAGGGGTGTGTGCTCATTTCACACGTTTGGCTGGGCTATGACTCTATCAGCGTTTAATATTAACTAATTACAAGAGTGTTGGACTGCGATAAAGTTTTATTGTAGATTAGTTAGACACAAAGAATTTGTGTAAATAAAACAATATATGTTAAGCTTTAAAATGATAATACAAAATATGAATGTAGACGTTTCGGCAAATGACTTCATCAGTACAAAAAAACACCAATCATTCATGAATAGGCTTTTTCTTTCATGCTGGAGTTGCCGATCCTTAGATTTAGCCTTAGGAACCCTAGGGTCTTGTTTGCCCGGCTGCACACATTGTTAATGTGATCATCCCAGCTGCCTCTCTTTGAACGGTAACACAGAGGTACCTTACAGAGGAAACTGACTCAAGCATATGGTCTTGCATTTCATTAGGTGGGTGAAGAGGGGTTCTACTTCTGGGGACGGACAGGGTCTGGCACTTGGCAGGATGAAATTCCATGTTCCAGCTCATCTCCCATTCAGCTAACTGATGTAGGTCCTGTATTGTAGCTGGTCCTGGTCAGTACTGTTGCCAATTGTCTTATTCACCGCTGTGTCGTCCGGGAGCAGTCTTGCTTGGGAAGTCAGCTTCTCGTGTTGATATATGCTAGGAACAAACAGGGGTCTACCACCAAGACCTGGGGGCTTAAACAATTCATTTGGAATTTCTAACTACTATTTCTCTTTTTTCATTTAAATTTAAATTGCTAAATAATGAACTTATAGCGCCTTTTGTAAGACTCTTTGATTTACTACGACACCCTCCCCCCCATTTTTTTCAAATAAACTATCAAAAGTAAATTTTTTCTGAAACTTACTATTACCAAAAAATTTAATTGATGTGAAAATCGAAAAACTTTTTTGTCAAAATTAAAGAAACAGTTTTCCTGCCTGCATTTTGAATACAAATTGCTAAAAAAATATTTCAATATTCATTAACAATATTGGAACCATAATGCCCCTAGAAGCGTGAGGCTCTCTAGAGGTGTGAGGTTCCCTAGTTTGAGACCCCATAGTCATAGAGGCGTGAGGCCCTGGGCAAGTGCCCATGCCCATGCCTTTATATGGAACTGGGCCTGATGCTAATAGTAATAGGCCTTTAATTTTAACTCTGGGACAAGAATCACTTTAAAAAAATTGATTTACTCTTGTTAAGGAGTTTAAACTAAGACTAAGCAAACAGTTTTTTAAAATTTATAATAGTTAATAAACCCTATAAAACAACATTACTATTTGGGTAGGCCTACTTTAGTAACAATGAAGAAGAAAAGATTTTTTTGAAATTGAAAGCAATCATGTCATTCATGTCAAGGGACACTTAAATTTCACAGAATCTCTTCTGCGTTGATAACTCAATTAAGTATTAGCTTGGTACATAACTAAATTTAAGAATATGAATATTCTGAATATGTCTATCTAAATGAATTAATGAATCTTTCAAAATCTTTTATTTATCAAAACCGTGAACGACGGTAATTACAATCAGGAGTTGCCTATATTGAGAATGGAATACTGTAGGTGTAAGAAGATTTGTCTTTTGCTACAGGGACACCGCATCAGTCACTATTTATTACAGTTATGTTAATTTACGATATCTGGCATTAAATTACTGTTAAAACTAATAAAACGAAGTTAAATTTTAAAAGAAGAAAGGCGACTCTACCCTTTTAAAATCTGAATTATAGGTGCTGATAAAGGCAGGTCACTCTTACATAAAAATCAGATGATAAAAACAGACTAACAAATAAAAAAACTCAAATAAAATTGGAGACCGTTGTGTCCGTATATTGAACGAGGCAAAACCCCTTCCCACATCAGTTTAAAAAAAAAACAAAACAACACCATGAGTTACATGTTGTCTACACTGTCATCCAAAAAGGAAGTTGATAAGGTTATCAGAGAAACCGAAGATGTAGTGCTGGTCTTAAGATTTGGTCGGGAAACTGACACTAGTTGTCTTCAGATTGATAATATTGTAAGTTGAAAAACAATTTTGAAGTTAGTCCTGGCTATCGGCTATAAATATAGTAATAGTATCATATATGTAAGTCTATTTAGTTAGTACTATTACTTCGAGGGTAATCCCTTATTTTAAAAGTTAAGTAATTTATAAGAATAAGACTATTTGACTTATGGTATAATTATGAAAGATAATAATAAGTTGCGACAATGACAAAGTAAAGTGTCACAAAGTATTAGATTGGCATTAGCCTAATGCTTAGCTGATGATTAGCTTCACCATTTACGCTGACATTGGCAATAAATAAATGAAAAAAACATCCAAATCCAAATAGTAATTACCGGGTACAAGTAAGTAGTCTACCACTTCAGACTCAGTGTTAAATGGTTTTATTTTTATATTTGCAGTTTGCACATGGCAAACTCTTTAAATGCTACTTTAATCTATCATTTAAGAATGAAATGCTGTTCGTTGTTTTATATTTAATTGCATTGAGAATGTCTCCTGAAAATTTGGTAGTATTATCTTTTAAAATAAAGACAAAGAAGTTGCGGGCAAAATAAGACAGAAATTTGGAAAGTCAGTTATAAGTTTTCACAGTTAAAATTTAACTTAAATACAAAGATAAAAAAGGGGATTTAAAGAATTCACAAAAATCATACTCCACTTCTATAAAAGCTAGCTAGAAAGATGAAATTGGTGTTTTTATAAAGCTTTTAGCTAGCACTTTAAAATTATGTATCATATATGGCAAAAGGACAATATTTTAAAAAATCTGTTAAAGTACCTCAAATGGAGTTTGAGTTTATCATAGTTTTCCCCCCACACCCATGGTAATAATGAAGGGAATAATAAGTGATAAAAGCGTGGCTGGTACAAACTGTCTATTCCATTTGCGCTTCACGGGTATTCACATATTTTCTACATTCTGTGTTACACAGACATTTGTCTCAACAAAGTTTTGTTGATGGACCACGGCCTAGTGTTCGTAGATTCTGTGTCTTATCTGATTTATGTTTTTATAACCTGCCCATCTGCCTAAGATAATACTGTGAACCTGGTACAATATATATATCTCAATGCATTCCTGGAAAGGGATCATACGTTGGCCTTACACTTAATATGAAAACAGCACCATCACCAACCTTCTTTCAATGCCAGCAAAAACCCAGTGGCCCTCTCTCCATGGTGGTATTTTCGGTAAAAAAGCCCTTCAGTCTTCATAAAAGAAAAACACAATTTTTGAATAGCCAATACTGAAGTGTTAGGTTACCAATAACTAATTTAAATATCAATTTTAGGTCATCTCACTGCTTATAATAAAAAATATGTTTGCATCTGATTTGCATATACCATATTTATTGGCGTGTAACATGCACTTTTTAAAGATAGGGGGAAAATGATGTGTGCGTGTTATACGCCGATGTAATTTTAAGGACCCATAGTGCATAGCGGCGCGAATGGTACGTGTTATACGCCTGTGCGTGTTATACACCAATAAATATGGTAATTTAACTATAACTAACTTTTTTGACAATTTCATTCCCACTAAAAAACAACATAATTAATAATACATTACATTGGTATGGGGCAAGTAACTTAACAGAAACTATTCGCAAGGATCAGAACAACCAACTGAGGACAAGTTGCTATAGACATTGATTATCCATGATCTTGAAAAAAAATAGTGAACTCCATTCAAACGAAAAGCGAGACTCTGTTCAAAGTATCAACATGCACTGAAAAACTTACACATATCACTATTAATCTCACAACACAACGGTCCTCTAACGCCTTGCTAAAGATCAATTAAAAAAACAAACAACAAAGCACAAAGACTTTCAGGACTGAAAATAATATGTGCAATGTAATTAAAACAAATTTCCATTTATTTGGATCAATTAAAAAATGTTATCTTATCATTTTTTATAATTTCTTATTTTACATTTCTTGGTGAGGAGAAAACCATAGCAAGCTGGGTGACTTCCTAGATTTGATAAATCCTATATCCAGCACTGGTTTACAATTAATTAAATTTTCTTCAGTTTTTAAATACTTTAGAGCCGGGGTGGGCAACTCTTGCCAACTGAAACTTGTGGTGAATTTGGTTTTACCCATAAGAACATAAAATGTAAATAATGTATGTACAAATAAAAATTATCCTTAAAATATTAAAGTTTATAAATATTTCATAGTATATAATATTATGGAACCAGTAAAGCAAGCAAGCAGTTGAATGTATGTGCTTACTTTTATGTTTTTTAGTTAAAAAACTGGTCTATTTACAGATAATTTAAAATTAAATTTCCTGCCTACATTTCTGTACAAAATAAAGAATTTATTTTCAATTTGCATAAACTTGGCTTGGTTCATTAGTCCTCTCTACAATAAGATTGATCAAAATACAGATCTCGAATTATTGACATGAATTTAGAAGATGAGTTGTGCTTTTAGTACAAGAATTGAACTAAAATTTTACAAGCTTGGTAATGCAAAGGAATATGAAATTTTACATTGAATTTTCCTTATTTCTTCTATTAATTTCAATTAATCGTAGTTTTCATGATTTATATATATGTAGCGAATTTTACTTTTCATTCGCCATAACTGTGCCATTTTTTTGAGGCTTAACTTTTATAGCTATTTGAAGAAAAAAAATTAACGGATTTATGATTTAGCATTCCAGACATACTCATCCCCATCCTGACTGCCCAATCTTACATTATGCCATTAAATATAACATTGTTAAACAAATTTAAATGTTAGATTAAATATTTTAAACATTTTTCAAACAAAGTATCTGTATACTTTCAGCTTTCGAAGACTGCAGACGAATTATCAAACATGGCAGTCATATATCTTGTAGACATTGATAAAGTTCCAATCTACACTCAGTATTTTGACATCTCACTTATTCCTTCAACTATTTTCTTTTTTAATGGTCAGCACATAAAAGTGGATTGGGGGTAAGCTATTTCGACTTTTTGTTAATTAATACTTCTACTGGGCTTGTCATATGGACAATAATTCATATACTAGTAGTTCAGTGGTTTATATTGCAGCAAGCAGGGAATTGTGCCCTCTGGTGTTTGGGTGTGGAAGGCTAAATCTGCCTTGGTTGATCCTTTCCTCCTGGTTAAGGTGTGAAAATAACAGGGGGCTGTAGGAAGTGAAATGAGTTTTCCAATATTCCATGGCTATAGTGTAGTTGATCCTGTGTGCACAACACCAGGTGGATAATGGAGGAGAAATAAATGGTAAACCTGTGATCCATTTTGTGCACTTTCAACAGATGAGAAGAACAGCTGCTTAACTTTTCCTTTTCCCCTTACAACTACAAATGGAACTTCATTCTGCAAAGGCAAAGGAAACTGATGTGTGCTCAGCTTGACTGACCTTTCCTTTTTCCTAAGTTAGATGTGAAAGAGCAGCCTTGTTTCCTTCAAGGTACCTTCAGTGGGCTATAACAAGCTCTGTGATGAGCCTCCTGGTAAAACCACTTTATGGTTTCAGTACAATGAATGGAATATTGGCTGTTGTCCTAATTTGAACAAATTGCAGTAAATCAAATACCCGAATTATAGTTTAACTTTTCTATTTACTTCCTATGGAGTAAACCTTTAAATCTATTTTAAAATTTATTTACCGGGTAACCTTGTGTGAAGATGACCTTTTTTGTATTTGTATTTGTTTTTCAGAAGTCCAGACCACACCAAATTTGTTGGCAGCTTTAAGAATAAGCAAGACTTTATTGATGTAGTAGAAGTGATTTACAGAGGAGCAATGAAGGGCAGAGTTATGGTGAGCAGCCCTTTGGAGCCACAGGATATCCCAAAATATCATTTAATTTACAAAGACATTTGAAACAGCACCATTCACTTACCGATAATTCGTCATTGTGAAGTATGACAGAGAGTGAGAAAAGAACTGGATTTGCATCTTCTTATTGAAAGAAAGGCGACCCAACAGTTTGTTCACTGAGAAACAATAAATATTCCACTAGCAGCTGATGATTTAAACTTAAACTAATTACGATTTACAAAAGTGTTTCCCAACCGTTTCTATACTCTGCACTCCCTAAGAATTATGTAACTAGTCTTGCATCTCCTACAAATTGTTTTACTCATTCTCGCATCCCTACAAAAGTGACAACACCTTTTAAAATGATGGACTTCTAATTTACTTATTGAATTGCAAAGAGAACTGAAAAACTTTAAAAAATAAAGTTGTGACTTATACTTATAATATAAAGGAAAATATTAATGAAGAAATTTCCTCCCCTGGGGCTCCGGTCGACAAGTCTGTGGTGGTTTGCCGATTAGGAGGCGTCGGCCGCCGACCCCCAGGACGTTACCCAGGGAACAAGACCACTGTGGCGCGTCCTGCATGGGCAGACAAGGGACGTGCTCGGTACCTGCCATAAATAAAACAGCACCTACAGGGCTGCCAGCTGTGACAATTCACAATTGGAAGTAAAGGCAAAAGCAGGGTAGGAATCATGATTACATGTTGCCGTTAACGGATATGAGGCAAAGGTGATAACCCCTAGCCGATGATTCTTACTATGCAGCCTTATAAAGCTGCTTTAATGCAACCGTTTTGTCCCAGCTACTTGGCAAATTAGTTGCGTCGTGGAAACCCACTGTAGAAACCCTCTTAAAGGGCGTCCAACGCTTACCCGAAATGGGTGGGGGAAGACATTAGGACGTAAATTTACCATCCCAACTCCTAAGAAAGTGAATCGTGTGCATTGTTCGCAAACACAGTGTCGGACCGACCGGGTGTCTTTGGGTTGGGGCCGCCCCCAGCGGAACCCAATAGGGCGCACTCGGATGGGGGCTGTCCTGGCAAAGAGACATCTCCAATAGCTTGAGTGTAATGGTACCCGGGTGCAAATGGCAGCGCTGCGTGTCTGGGTCCATTTTGACTCAGTGTTATTCGGATGTCATGTGGTAGTTTATTTTAGTTAACTGAAGAATTAAGTTTACACAAACATATAGTCCATTAAATTCTCTTTCATTTCAATAAAGTTTTAAATAGTATTTTAATCCCAACCTCTCACTTATGGTACCAGGTGCAAATAGCCACTTCGTTTTAAAAAAAATATGTCAGTATGGTGGTGGTTGAGACCTGTTTAGGTGAATGTAACTGGCAGTGTCATTTAAAAAACATTTAACTGGCAGTGTTCTATAAGCCTCTGCAGTAGCTACAAGAATGCAAGTATCATTTTGTCAAATTTTGAAGTATTTACAAATGATTATCCTTTTTTTTTCAAAATTATAAAATTTTTATATAAATCTTTGAGGTATGCTACAGTTATCAAAGTTTTTTGTGGGAGAGACTATTCCAATGATTTATTTCCTTGTAACTTTAACTGTTTCAAAGTCAGCCATTAACTGTTTGCCAGTAATAAGGCTTCTTTTGAAGTTACAGAACTTTTTGCCAGGAGTAAGGCTTCTTGTAAAATCTTGTTTCAATGAAGCAAATTCCCATATACCCATGACACAATCTTTAAAAAGTAGTCCAGTCTTGGTATTTCTACTATAAACATTATTTATTTTTATATGCATAAGGACATTGATTTTTTTAAGGACATGAAATAGTTAACTTATTCAACAGAAATTTTGAGTGCATTTATATTGAACAAGTAAAGCAAATGTATTTAATGTTATAAAAACTGTAATATGCATTTTGACCATTCCATTTCCTCCCAAAGTGCTTAGAAAACCCTTTATGTGTATATTTATTTATTTATTTATTTAGGCATTTTTATATAGCGCTTATCATAAAGCTCTAAGCGCTTTACAATTATTAAAACATGTAAACTAAGTAAATACAAATGAGACACTAGGATAGTAACTACTATTCTATAGAAACAATGAAAATGGCTATAAAAAGAGGACACTTTGACACTTCAGGATTAAACCGAAACAGAAAATTAGGTAGGGCAAGGAGGGTGCATCACAGGTCATAGGCGGACCTAAACAGATGAGTTTTAAGGGACTTTTTGAAAATGGACGAGGTTTCACTATGACGTATATGGAAGGGGAGCTGGTTCCAGAACGTGGGCCCATGGAAGCAGAAGGAGCGTTCACCGATGGTCTTAGTTTTAGTTCTTGGGATTGAGAGGGTTCTACTGTCAATGGAAGAACGTAGTTGTCTTGTGGGGATGTAAGGAAGCAACAGTTCAGAGAGATAGACAGGAAAGTGAGGGTCAGTGAACGAGTTGAAGCAAAGATTGGAAGACTTGTATTTGATGCGAGAGGATATTGGAAGCCAGTGGAGTTGCCGCATGTGTGGTTGAATGTGGTCATGTTTCTTTAATTTAAAAATGAGTCTGCATGCTGAGTTCTGTGCCTTCTGAAGTTTTTCTATGTGGTGTTGAGGAATGCCTGAGAGAAGAATGTTACAGTAGTCAAATTTTGAAAGAATGAGTGAAGAGACGAGAGTTTTTGTGGCATCAAAGGAGAGGAGGTGTCTAATGGTGCTGATTTTTCTAATTTCGTTATATGCTGATCTGCATATATTCGTGACATGTTTGTCCATGGAGAGGGTGTCCGTAAGCGTGACTCCAAGGTTTCTGGCAGAGGGAGAGAGTGTGATGTCAGAGTTGCCAATAGATATAGAAGAAGGAGCGAATGGAGGGAGAGGTTTGTTTTGAGAGTGGATGAGAAGGATTTCCGTTTTATCATCATTTAGCTTCAGTTTGTTGCAAGTCATCCAACGCTTTACATCGTCCACGCACTCCTGTATGCGAAGGATTGTGGCATCAAGTTGATCAGGAAAGCAAGAGTCACTGATTTGAGTGTCATCAGCAAAGGATTGACTGGAAACTGAGTGGTGGCTAATGAGAGATGATAGAGGTTTAGTGTAGAGGATGAAAAGGACCGGCCCAAGGACCGATCCTTGAGGAACTCCAATAGACAGGGCTGAAGGTTTGGAAGAGCGGTTGGAAATAGAGACTTTTTGAGTTCTGTCAGAAAGATATGATTGAAACCAGTTTAAAGCTGAGCCAGTAAGTCCGAAAGAAAGATGAAGGCGGTCAAGAAGAATCTGGTGGTCAATGGTATCAAATGCAGCAGAGAGATCTAACAGAGTGAGAATAGAGAGTTTGCCATCGTCCATCGCGCGCAGGAGGTCACTCATGACTCGGACCAGTGCTGTTTCTGTGCTATGACCAAGTCGGTAGGCGGACTGAGAGGAAGGATAGAGATTGCGAGAATGAAGATAGCCAGAGAGCTGAGAGAGTATGAGTTTTTCTATGATTTTTGAGAGAAAGGAGAGGTTGCTGACGGGGCGGTAATTCTTGAGTGTGTTTGGATCAAGTGAGGGTTTCTTTAGGAGGGGCAGGACAATCGACCGTTTAAAAATGGGAGGGAATATGCCAGAGAGAATCGAAGAATTTATGATGGAGGTGAGTGCTGGGAGGAGGACGTCAAGGCATTCTACAAGCAGTGGGACGGGGATAGGATCGAGGGCACAAGACTTGGGAGCAGACCTGATGATGACTCGCCTCACCTCATCCTCAGTCACAGGCAGAAAACTATCAAATGATTCTGTCTGACTAACGTCCTCCGAGAACGGTGAGGAAGGTGTAGGGGTCGCGCTGTCTAGCTCCTCCCTGATCGTTTGCACCCTGGTGATGAAAAAGTCCGCAAAGGCGTCAGGGAGTTGCTCTGGTGCAATGTCAGTAGGGAGGGTGAAATTCTTGCTATTGCCAAGGAGACGGTTAATAGCGCTGAACAACGCCTTGGTTGATGCACATGATTCGACCTTTGAGCTCCAGTAGTCATCCTTTGCCCTCTGTACAATCTCTGCCACAGCATCTTTCGCTGTCCAAAAGATCTGTCTGTCAACACTCAGTCCAGTCTTTACCCAGCGTCTTTCAGCGCGTCTTCGCACGAGTTTTGCCAAACGGAGTTGGTCACTAACGCCTGCATACCATGGCGACGAGCGACCAGTCAGAAATATATAATTCCATTACTGTGCAAAAACATTTTGTAACAACAGTAACAGTTCAGTATTCCAGTTATTACATATGTCTAATGAATGCTCCAAAATGCTATACTTAACATGCAACCCTCTTGTTCTATTAAAATACCCGGTATGTCAATGTTCTGTCTCATCATTTGAGATACATAGAGTAGTGGTATTAGTTATTTTCATCTAACTTTGGGGCAAAAGAAAATAATCTAAAAATAATTTTTTGCAAGCTGTCATTTATGATATATGAGTTATTACAAATGATAATAAAAAAACAAAAACAAACAAAATTTACTGACTTTGTTTTCATTATATTAATAATGCAAAATATAATTTTAACAACTTCTTATACAAGAAAACTATTTCAGATAAATCTTCACTAACATTTTTATTTAATAACTCCATAAGTGGGGATTCGTGAAAAATAATATTTTCTCTAAAACTGTAAGAAAGTTCTCCCATAAACTGCTTCTGTATGCACTGTATTTAATTTCTGAGTTTCCTTTTGGGTACTGACTTCTTAAAAGCATCCAACCATGACTCTTTGTTTTTCAAGGACGTCATGATTTTCATCACTTGGTCCAATGTAATGCACTTAGTACCAAGGTTCCAACTGAAAAAAAATAATAAAACTTCAAAAATTTAGTAAGCAATAAATCATACAAAACAGTCATCTTAGTATTTTCATAGTTGTAGAATAATTCTTCATAATTTAATTTTTGTCACCAGGTAATACTAACAGTAATAGCCAACATTCTCGATACAAAATAAGAAATATCAGACGATTTTTCATCACGATTTGTTATTCCTGTGCAGTTTTTACTTTTAGTTGTCTGAATGATTCTTTATCATGTGATTATGACAATGACTGCATGTCATTACACAGATATACATAAAAATTTAATTTTATAAAATAATTTTAAATGCCAAAGTCTTTTATGAGCTGTTTTATCCCGCCTGTCAGTTTTAAGGTTAATTATTAACCTTAAGTTAATTCAATTAAAAGTTAGAGTGAAAAGAATTCAATCAAAGGTAGAGTGACAAGTTAATTCAATCAAAGGTTAGAGTGAAAAGATAAACCCAATTTCTGAAAACTTTATGTGCCAGGCAAGATGTCTTTATAACTTAAGGTGGGATCAAACTAAACTTACTTCAGATACTGATCTAAGGGAAACTTCATAACTTTGATTCCTTGTTTTTTAGCTCTGGCATAGGACACAGGTTTTTGTATTCCTTTATCATTAAAAGCTCCAATAATATACACAGCGTCAGGATCAAACTTTGTCATAACCTGTGGGGAGACATTAAGAGATCAAAATTTAAGAGACTTCAATTCTTCAATGTTCTGGGGAAATTGATATATGTAACGTAGTTTTTTAATTTGAAAACAATAAACTTTTAAGACTGCATTCTTAAATTCTTTAGTGTACATTGATAAACCTTGTTTAGCCTCTTAAGCTGCAGTATGAGTAGCCAAAAAATTGTTAAAACTCTCTTAGCCAAAAAATTGTTATAACTCTCTAAGCACTTTTCCAGCCCATTAGACTAACATTTTGATTGGTATGGTCACAGCCCTCAAAATAGTATGGGCAAAGGTAAAATTAAAAAACAAGAAAGACCTCTACATCGGTGCCTTCTATATGCCCAAAAGAAGTGCGACCTTGACCAAAAATCCAACATTCTTACAGCCAACGGCAAGCACCCACGCAACATCATCGTTGCCGGCGACTTCAACTGCCCCGATATAGACTGCCCACTCCACTGGCAGAGACAACTCCATTCAGCTATCACTGGTGGACTTGACCTCATCCTCCCTACTCACACAAGTGCAGAGGACACCTACACGTCAAAACAGCATCCTAGACCTTATCTTCACATCCAACCCCACCCTCGTTAAACAATTCACGTGTGTCCCAGGCATATCTGACCATGACGCAGTAGTGGCTGACTTCTACTCCAAAGCTGAAATAACGCGCCAGAATCCCAGGAAATCTTACAAGTTCAAATGGAGTCATCCAAGAAGGCCTCGAAAACAACAACACAAAACCGTTCTGGCGCTACATTAAATCCAGGAAGCAAGACATCGGCGTAGCCACCCCCCCCCCCCAAACCAAACCACCGGTCTTCCCCCCCCCCCCCCCCCCACCAGAAAAACGGGCAACTTGTAAGCAATGGCCAATGCAAAGTAGAAATGCTCCTAAAGCAGTTTCAATCCATCTTCACCAAAATCTCCACCACAGTCATACCATCCCTAAAACCTTCACCTGGTACAATAGGCCCCCCTCAATCATAACTGAAACAGGAGTAGCCAAGCTTCTCAAAAACCTGAAGCCCAATAAAGCGCCCGGACCTGACTGTATCCGGAACGTTGTCCTGAAGACCCTGGCTGATAACATCGCCCCAACCATGACCCACATCTCCGGCTAACTCCCGCTAGACTGGCTTGATGCAAATATCACTAGTGCCTACAAGAAATGTGACCGTCATAACCCAGCAATCTACCGCCCAATATCCCTGACCTGTTTCATGCAAAATCCTAGAACACATCATCTATCGCCACATCATGAACCACCTTGAACACTACAACATTTTGACCAACCTAAATCACGGTTTTGGCTCTGGATTCTCAACAGAAACTCAATTAATCATCACCACCAATGACCTCCTAGTCTCTTATGACAAAGGTACCCAGGTCGACATGGCAATTCTCGACTTCTCCAAGGCCTTCGACACTGTTCCACACAGCCTTCAGCTACATAAGCTACAGCATTACCGGCAACCTTCACTCTTGGCTCTCAACATTCCTAACACAACGTACCATGCAAGTAGCGGTAGACGGTGTCTAATCAGGGAAAGCCACCGTAGACTCTGGAGTTCCACAAGGCACAGTGCTGGGCCCCCTTCTCTTCCTCTGTCTTATAAACGACCTCCCCGATACTGTAAAATCTCAAGTGAGGCTGTTTGCATATGACTGTTTTGTCTATAGAGAGATAAACGGCTACGATGACCACAAACACCTCCAAACAGATTTGAAGTGCCTTATGAATTGGGCGGACAAATGGGGCATCAAATTTAATGAAACCAAATGCTACACAATGACCTTCTCAAGAAAAAAAAACATCAACATATATGTACTCACTAAACGAGACAATTCTCCAACACATATCAAACAATCCATACCTTGGAATTTTTTTCTCAAATAACCTAAAATGGTCACCCCATATTAAAAATTTCAAAAAAAGCCAACTCCACCCTAGGTTTCATCCGAAGAAATCTGAGCCACTGCCCAACTTCCTGCAAACGAAATTCCTATCTCGCACTTGTCCGTCCACTGCTAGAATATGGTGCAATCATCTGGGACCCACACCTTAAGCAAGACGTGGACAAGATGGAGCGAATTCAACGTAATGCGGTGTGTTTTATCGCTCAAGACTACAAATCCACCACTTCTGGCTTCGTCACTGGCCTCTTAAAAAGATTTGAAATCCCACCCCTTAAAGACAGACGAGAGGGACTCGGCCTGATATTCTTATATAAAATGATCATGGGACTGGTGCCGGCCATCCCAGCAGGCACGTACCTCGACCCACAGAAGCCGGATAAACTGATCAGAGCAAAACGCTCACTGAACACTGACATTACAACTGACAATCCCATAAACAATTACACCAGAAACAATAGCAAATGCTTCAAAGTGCCTCAATGCAACACAGTGCAGTATAAAAAATATTTCTTCCTACGCACAGTAATAGCATGGAACCACCTGGACAATGCCACTGTGAACTCGACATCGGTCGAAAGCTTCAAGGCTGCCCTGACATCAGCTAGGAGCTGTTAGACTAGCAACATCATTCCCCCAACCGTTGCACAGATGCCAGTATATGGATGCAGCAACGAACACTACCAAAACCAGAATATATATATACATAGATATATAAAGATAAATAGATACAAATATTCCTGTTAAATGTAGCAGATCTCATCAACAGAATAAAACATCTGCATTATCACTCTACTACACTATTAGATGATATAACGATATTTATAATTATAAGGCCTATGAACTCTTGCTTTTATTTACTAAATGGGGATCTGTAGTAGGACATTAATTTCTATCCACACAGACTTACCTGTTTAGCATCAGGTGACAGATATACAAGTTTGTCTTTGTCATACAAGTCCAAGTAACTTTTTTCAGAGACAGATGCCAAAAAATCTGAAGTATCTTGCATTTCAATTTGCAATAACCTACGAAAACAATACAAAATATAATTTAAATTTAAGTAAACATTACATTTACATGACTGTAATCTTTTAACTTAGCTTGTTAATTAAAGGTGATCAATTAGTATAATGAACATATCAGAGACCATTTCATTGCTAAAGGATAAAAACAGTTATGGCTCTTGCCACTTCATAAAGTTACCAGTATTTCATATTATAAATCAGTTTTTGGAAAATTGGCAGCTGTATTTCAAGAGCAACATTTATCCAAAGACAAAATTCTCTGCTACCCCGTACGCCATAGATCAGACTAAGATATTTTTGGACGCAATGTGACACAGTGAGAAGGTGCCATTAACTAGTCATTTTTGGACGAAATGTGACACAGTGAGATGGTGCCATTAGCTAGTCATTTTTGGACTTAATGTGACACAGTCAGAAGGTGCCATTAACTAGTCATTTTTGGAGAAATGTGACACAGTGAGATGGTGCCATTAACTAGTCATTTTTGGACATAATGTGACACAGTGAGAAGGTGCCATTAACTAGTCATTTTTGGACTTAATGTGACACAGTGAGAAGGTGCCATTAACTAGTCATTTTTTGACTTAATGTGACACAGTGAGAAGGTGACATTAACAAGTCATTTTTGGACTTAATGTGACACAGTGAGGTGGTGCCATTAACTAGTCATTTTTGGATTTAATGTGACAAAGTGAGATGGTACCATTAACTAGTCCTTTTTGACTTAATGTGACACAGTGAGATGGTGCCATTCACTAGTCATTTTTGGACGAAATGTGACACAGTGAGATGGTGCCATTAACTAGCCATTTTCTGACAAAATGTGACACAGTGAGATGGTGCAACTAACTAGTTATTTTTGGACTTAATGTGACACAGTCAGAAGGTGCCATTAACTAGTCATTTTTGGACTTAATGTGACACAGTGAGATGGTGCCATTAACTAGACATTTTTGGACTTTATGTTACACAGTGAGAAGGTGCCATTAACTAGTCATTTTCTGACAAAATGTGACACAGTGAGATGGTGCAACTAACTAGTTATTTTTGGACTTAATGTGACACAGTCAGAAGGTGCCATTAACTAGTCATTTTTGGACTTAATGTGACACAGTGAGATGGTGCCATTAACTAGACATTTTTGGACTTTATGTTACACAGTGAGAAGGTGCCATTAACTAGTCATTTTTTGACTTAATGTGACACAGTGAGAAGGTGCCATTAACTAGTCATTTTTCGACTTAATGTGACACAGAGAGAGGGTGCCATTCAATTAATCTGACATTAAATATTATGACATGATATAGTAGGGAAGAATCTGGAGCCATTGGCATGAAAATGCTAGAAGTAGGAACATAGTTCACCATCCTGTTTTAGGAGCATCTTTTTGTTAAAACTAAGGATTTGAACATGCATAGATTTCAGACAACCAAAAAAGAAAAAATACAAGCTTTGTGCAGCTAATTAGATACAATTTTGAGTCTCTATATTATATATATATTATATATGCTACAAGATATAAATATAAGAGGTAAAATAATAAAAAGAATTTGCTCATAAGATAGTCTATTCAAAATGAATCAGCAGTTGTGAAACATCCCATCCGCTGAATTAGCCTAACACTTTGTCAAATAATTACCATACCCTTATAAACAAACTCACTTTTAATTTTTAAAAAACATGTTATGATTATATTATGAAAATGTTCCAGCAAATGGAACTCAAAATGTAACTAAATTGCTGGGAACCACCTTTGTAAAATGTTATTTTAATTTCTCTGGGCTTCTTTTCTGTAACCAGCCATTGCCTGGCAAAAGAAAAAAATCAGCTATAAATAGTATAAAAAGTTCAACTGTACCTGTACAAAGGGTGATTGTCAGAACAGTTGGTAAAGTGTAAATGGTAGGGCAGGTTTGTATCTGCTCTGTTCAAGGAGTAAAGTGACAAGAGTTGGGAAGCTGTATTTTTAACATCCTGGGGCCGCATGTAGTCTAAATAGTCCATGTCAATTACAAGTGGAGTTCCAAACTGCATGGCTGATGCAAGGTTGTAATTCTGCCACCTTAAAAAATACATACAAAAATGCACAATAATTACAATGCTGGTAGTTGCTTTTTAACACAAAGTGGATAGTTAATAAAAGATTTACCCTAAGTGTAAATATGCTAAATTGTAATTGTATTAACAGCTCTGTGGTTTCATTTGTGAGGGTTTAATTAATTATTGAAGCCAAGGCCCTTGGGGGTCTAACTATCATAATATATGGGAGACTGCGTTCAAGCCATGTGAAATAAATAGTGGAACAAGATATGTTTTGTCTTGGAAAAACAAACAGAACAATTCAAAGGACATTTTGGCCCAATGCCTTCTTCAGCAGACAATACAAAACAGAAAAACAAATATTTGAAATTGAAAAACTTTAGTGTTCCCAGATCACAAAGTAGCTTTCTCAGTCTCTGAGTAGAAACAAAAGGCATTTAATTGTTCTTTCTTTTCTTTCAAATGACCCAACTAATTATTACACTTTTAATTGTTCTTTCTTTTTTTTCAAATGACCTAACAGATTATTACACTTTTTTTTTAATAATGAAGCCATGACAGTGACATGAAAATTAGGGTTGCTTCAGTTAAGATAAAATAAGATTCTTTTAATGCTCCAACTAAATGAAAATGTGTTTTGAGTAAATTGTAGATATTTATGTTTAGCATATGGATAATAATTCTGATTTAGATAAAAAATTTTTAAACTAGAACAATTTAAACGTTAGAAAATATATCTCAAGTGCAAAAATCAGCCATCACTTATAAAAAAAATCACTTCCTTAATGACAATATTAACTTTAAACAGTAGGTATTTTGTCTTGGCATAATCAACCATTGCACCAATTAATTAGCATTTGCTAGTTTTTATCCATTTAACCCCTGATCGGCTTTTGTTTAAATGGAAATGCTACCCAAATTTTAGATGTAAATCTAGATTTTTTTAAATTAAATTTATTTATCTACAAGTCTCTAGGCTGCTATCATGTATTTTTTTCTCCACTAGATTGGGTTATATTCTAGTTCTGTACCATTATCAGTGTTTACTATTTTTGATGAGCTTCATTTCCGTGACAAGATGTAACAAATTCTTCAAAATGTTTTTATTTCCTTGTTGTCATTTCAGTCTCCATATACGTTTTCTTGCTTACATTACAAAACAGAGATTAATTTCATAAATTATTTTTGTGAACTTTGAAATCACTTTTAGACAGCAGTATCTCTACTGGGACAATTTTAGATGAGGTTACACCTTCGCAGAAGAATACTTTTACAATAAAAGCATTATTTTTTTAAAGTCTGCTTTCGCTCAAACAATAATTATTGACTCATGTACACATATAGGATGAGTACTTCTAGATTCCTCTGAGTCAGCTTTTCTTAAAGGCAAGCAGACGGTACTTTCCCTTGTCCAGGTGCTAGGGTAAATTGTTTGGAAATCAGAGGTCTGCTAACTACTTTTTATTCACACAGGTATTTACTCATATTCTATGTAATCTAAATAGTAGCTCTATTATCAAATATAAATATGAAATAGTATAATGAATTACCTTCATTTAATGACACCTTTCTTTCTCACATAACTATTATAATATAAAATTGACAACCAATTATCCAGTTATCAACTTATTTGCTCATCCTTAATAAAATTGAAATTTTGAATCTGTCGTTAAAGATAAAAAATATGTAAAACAAAAACTTACTTTTTAATCGTACTATCATAGATCCGCATAAAAAGTCTTCCATGCTCATATGTACCAAGGCCACCTTCTGGATGATGGATCATTCGCTCCTTTTTAATCTTCTCCTTCTCAGCATTTTTTAATGTCAACCGTTTTTTTAAAAAGAGGTAATACTTTAGTCTCTGCATTTTGGAATTTAAATCCATTGCTTCCAGCCAGTATTGATTTGTCATTTCCTCAAGGCTCTGAAATAAAAAAATATTAAATATAAATTATTTTATATATGTGTACAAAAGGATTTGTTAAATAAAGATTAAATCTTTTTAATAATAACCAGTCATATTCAAATTGAAAATTGTTAAAAAACCTTACCCCCCAACACCTAGTACTACAAAAAAAAAATGAGATGGATAAACTCCAATTTAAATAGTATTTTTAATTTTAATAAGAAATTCAAAAGTAAGGGTGGGGGAAAAACTAAAAAAAAGAAGTCCTTTTTCAGGTTTTTCCCCATACCCTGTGCTTTATATTTCTTATTGCTCCAAGCAGAATGCAGCCCTCTCCACATTGACACTTTTATTTTCGTGCAGGTCTGTGTGTGAGTGGGTCTGTCAGTGTAACTTCGCCCTTTTCATGATGTTTGGGTTGGTTTTGAATGGCAAGCAATAAGTATGATTTTATGTTCCATGGACATTAATCACTGTTAAACTGTTACATATGTTTGACTTAATTGACAAATTAGTATGCTTTTTTAAAAATCAAACTTGTAAATGTGTTATTACTTTGTTTTTTTCTGTGCAAATATTTCATTGAAATTTAATTTCTTTCTATTGACAACATTTAAAAACGTTCTAGATAAGAGATGTTCAAACTTTAAATTTTTTTTACCATCTATATAATTTATAATATGCTAAAATTTCGACGACAACCATCTAACATATGCTGTATATCTCTTTTTATTACACCTGTATGTACCACCTGGAATGATTAAATGTACGGCTATCGGCACAAGTGCAGGTACCTACCACATTTTGAAAATCTCTGATCTAGTGCAATGGTCATACTCACTGGAATAAAGTAACCCTCTGAGTACAAGAAGTCGTGCTCAAGTTGGATGACTTTTAATGCCTTCTTTTCCTCTTCATTTAGATTTGCTATTGCTTCATCACACTTTGCTGCTACAGTCTCTTTAATTTTTGAAATCAGCTGTAACTCTGGTGTACTTTGCCGCTCTTTCTTTACTTGTTCTTTTAGGTCATCTAAATTTAGATCTTGTGTATATTTTACTAATACTGATGGGATTTTTGCATTTTTTAAAGAAGCAGTACTGAAAGATTTCTTAACATGTAAAAACCAAGAGCGTGATTTATTATTGGTAAACAGATGGTCAGAAGTTTGAGGGCATGTAGTGTTATTGAGTCTGAGTCTGGACATTACTTGTTTAGTAAAAATCATGTTAGATGCTGGAAATACATGTTTGGTGCTCTGAGAATAAAACAATACATTACTGCCTTGAATAATTGGTTTAAGAAATGCATTGTGCAAATATGTCAAGCATTGGGGACTGATGAATGAGCTTTGAGGAAATCCCATGACTTGGATTGTGATTTAGTTTCTGCTTGCACCTAAAAGAGACAGAAAAAAAATACTGTTACATTTTAATCATTTAAGTTTATATGCTTTCAAAGCTTATTTAATCATCATCAAAATTAATTTACTCTTTACATTTGTCTTATAGAAACTTCATTATTGGTACTAGTGAAAAAAACGAAGCTATGCAATTAGAAATCAAGTTTCATAACCTATCTAGTTCTTTTAATTTTAGTGACTTATATTGCTTTATACTAACAATTCCAAATTAAATTTTGAGGCAAGTTGGGTACTTACTCTGATATCTTAAATAAATTAACTAAACTAAGGCTAAATTAAATAAAGAATAAATGAAATAGATTAGTCCAACAATGGAAGAGTTGTATAGGCCTACCAGTATTTAATATAGGTGTGTGTATATATAGGGCTTGGGCCATACAAAATTTGACACTTATTTAGAATGTTAATTAGATACCGTTTGAATCTGTAAGTGATATTATTATTATGAGTGGTTTTATATAGCGGAGTACCCCAGCCGAGGGCTGAGCTCACCACGCTGTACATACAATTTAACAAACATAATCAACTTTAAAAATTAATTAACTTACATTAATTAAATAAACAAAAAAAGGTGTGTTCACTCCACTGTTTGCGCAATGTTATAATGATCATCAATATATATATGGTTTGTTTATAAGGGTTATCTTCAGTCAATTCTTAAAATTAAGTCATTTCTGCTCTTTTCAAAATCTCTCTGCCCAGTTTGCCTAAACAAAACTTGGGGTAAATTTACATTCGGGGTGCCATTCATTTTCAACAGCTGCCATCATGGCAGATGTGTCATTGCAACCGAGAGGGCTGTGTACAAAAAAAATATGTCTGCTAAAATATAGAGGGGAAAGAGAGAGAATGTGCTGTTTTAATTACTTACCAAGAGAAACGAAAATTGGGAAAAATATTTTTTTTAAAAGAAAAACATTTGATCCTAAAATCCACCACTCTACCTAACCTGAATGCCAAGTCATTATCCCCAACAAAAGAATAAATTCCCCCTTTAACATCACTAACTTAAGCATAAATTTACCCTTAAATTTAGTTCCCTTTAACTTAAGTGTAAATTTACTCTTAAATTTAGTCCCCAATCCCAACTAAAGTGAAAATCTTCAAACCAAAAACTATGGTCTAACGCCTAATGTGAACCCTAAAACCATGTGTTCGTGTGCTACAGCTGCACACTATACTGAGAAAATCGTAAATTTGAATAAAAAGATTTAAACTATTTTAAAAATATTCAAAATACTGAAAACCCAACGTACAATGTCACTTTTACACACTTAATTGCAGATTCAACCAATTAGGCTTAGGCCTTGTTAAATATATGGTATATTACACTATAATATAGTAATAATTTTCTTTTGTAGGAGTATGAGTACCGGTAGTGTCACTAATGAGAGAATAACAATTATTATTACTACTATTTTTAAACTATTATTGATTCTATAAAAAAGAACAAATAACATGTTACAGTATTATTTCAAAAAAAGTTAAACGTAAATTGATACTATACATATTATTATAATATAATTATGTAAAGCAAGGGATAAAACTAGTCTGAAATTTAGCCGACTAAAAAACTATACTAGGCCTATAGGCCATGTGTGTGTGTGCATATATAGATATACACACACACATGTATATATATATAATAAATAAAGATATAAACTAAAATAATTATATTAGTTGCAATAAAGGCTATTTTTGACATGTTTATCTTAGTTAAAGACAAGTGGTTAGCAAATAAGCAATTCCGATGTCCATGGCAACCAACACCAAAATTAAAACCACTGATATTTGATTAGCCAATTATAATTATTAATGTTATAAAACATTTTTTATTTGTTTAAAATGATTTGTTATTAGTTATATATCTCATATATATTCTGGATAACCAATTTAATGAATTATTAAAAAGCAAACGGCTGCTATCAATAGTTGGTAATATGTAGACAAGCATGGTGGCCATGATGACAAATTATATAGCCTAAAAAAATGACCTCTTAGATTTTCATTTTTGACCCAACCCTCAGGTCTACACTCTTGAATTTTGGATCTTGGTTATATTCTTTCTCTCGATAAACATATCTCTCACATTTGTCACACTGCATATAAGGCTATCAGTCAGATCAGCCCCATCCGCCACTACCTCACAGTTAGCGCAACAAAAACCCTAGTCTGTGCTCTTGTTCTCTCTCGTCTTGACTATTGCAACTCTCTTCAGTCAGGTTCACCAAAACCCTTAATAGAAAAACTACAAAGGTTCAAAACTCAGCTGCTAAGTTAGTTCTAAAGCCTAGGGTACCGCATCATAAAAGACCACAAATAATAATAATAATATGTTATAAATGATGTTATAACTTAAAGAAGCCCTTTTTCTTTTTTTGGACCAGTTTTTAAAAAAAGTTATTCATGAGTAAAGTTTACCTATTATTAACATCAATTTTCAAAGCTTTAACCTCAAAAAAAAATATAATCAAATAACTGCCCAAACGAAAAAGCAAGCAAGATGTGGGCTTTCAACTTTAAGTAAATGGCAGATGTAGAATTTATTATTATATTAAAAATAAACTATAAAAGGTGAAACAATGATACCCTCAGTAAATAAAAAAAGTGGAGGTCGCCATTTTGACAACAAAATTACCATACGCGATTTTCTGGTGTTTATGGACCATACCGAAGTGCCTATGCCTACTTTCAGTGAAGAATGGGAAAGTTAATATTCAAAATATTCAAATCATTCTCATTGTTTACTTGGTTAACTACCATGAGCCGCTGGTAGTGCCAATGTTGTGTCATATATTATTCTGTTCTCGTTTTGGTTTGACATTTTAAGTTACTGACAGGATGTTATTTTTGAACCACATGAAGAAGATTTTATAAAAAGAGCTGTTAATTTTGATTCATTTTCCAAGCTAGTTACAAAATTGTAAAACTTGTTTGCCGTGGCAACAAGAAACAGATTTACTAAAGTAAAGGCATAAGTAATTGAAAGTGTACATATTATTCATAAATTATTCAGGTTTTGTATTCTTAGGTGCATTTTCTGATTATTGGATATACTATTTGGAAACCATTAAGGGGGCAGGCTACCAAAAATTTTTTTTTTAAATTAACAAACTTAGAGCAACTATTTTATTATGGTCATGTTAAGCTATGAATGGAGATATATTTTCATGCTTTTAAAAAAAAAAAAAAATTATATAGTTGCCATGGCAACGGCGGCCATCTTGAAAATAATACCCATTCNGGCAACAAGAAACAGATTTACTAAAGTAAAGGCATAAGTAATTGAAAGTGTACATATTATTCATAAATTATTCAGGTTTTGTATTCTTAGGTGCATTTTCTGATTATTGGATATACTATTTGGAAACCATTAAGGGGGCAGGCTACCAAAAATTTTTTTTTTAAATTAACAAAATTAGAGCAACTATTTTATTATGGTCATGTTAAGCTATGAATGGAGATATATTTTCATGCTTTTAAAAAAAAAAAAAAAATTATATAGTTGCCATGGCAACGGCGGCCATCTTGAAAATAATACCCATTCGTAGAGTTCTAAAATTTAAAAAAACAAAAATAAATATTGCTTAAAAATTGATTGATTCATGAACTTCAATTATATTTAGAGGTACTGAGCTAGTTTAATTTCCTTCAAACTTTTCAAAACATTTTTTTTTTAATTTTTAAAATTTGCCTCGGCAGAAAACGCTTAAAATTTACCATCCTAGGATATGAAAAAAAATATTTTAACAAAAGTAATTGACCAAATTGATTTTTTAATAGCTCATGACCCACAAAATAGTTAAAGGAAGATACACACCCAATTTTATTACTCTAGCTTGTATATTAGCTGAGATTTTAGAATTCTACGTTACAAAACAACAGAAAAAAACAATTTTGAGAAAAATCAATTTTAAACTTTAAAAGTGAAAAATTTTAAGTTTAATATGAAAATGAAGTTCTTTTACATAGTTTTTTTTGTTCAGCAACATGGACATGGTGGTTTATTATAATATTGAACTGTTGAATGCACCAGGAACATGGGTTTTACCTTCTTGAACTTCATCGGGTGCTCTCGTCAAAATCACAATTATTATTTTTTTTTAAAATTTTTCCTCTAGAATAAAGCTAATTTGTGTTGTATAAGAATTTTTTGTTCAGCATTATAGTATAGCACAAGTTATCCAAAGTCCCCAATCAACCCTTTTTGTCCATGATCCTTTTAACCATGCTTAGATGACAAGGTTATGTTGCTGTCACCATCACTGAAATTGAAGCATAAATAGTTTCATGGCAGCAATGCTATGTTGAAACTTTTGTACATATTCTGTGTACTTCTTTCATCAAAGATGTCCCTCATACCAGAGGTGAATGAGTTATTTGTCTATTAGAAATGTAATAAATGGGCAGATACTTGCTCATAAATGTTTCATGTCTTAGGCATAGAGCAGTTTTGATACTTTGTGCAGGTCATAAATTTTGCGGTGCAGCTGGATTGTTTATCGTAGATATCATAGATTGCAACTTTTCATAATACATGCCATTGTCCTTCAGGCCTTACAGTCTATAATTGATAATGACTTGGTTATCCAGTTGTGGATATGAACAATCTAACCACTCACAATCTAGTCATTGTTATATTCATAGTACCGGTATTTACTATTTTGTTTTGCAATAAGCTGTAAGTTATGGCTTCTGCAATTTGTCTATTCCACTGCAGACAGAAGAAAATTGGTAAAAGCTTTAAATTATGATCATATCGAAATCAATGTTTAGCAGTCCATGTGTAGAATTCTTGTCACTGAAGAATTAACTTTTGCTCGGCTCGGTAGAACTAATTGGGGGCTGGAATGGAATTAAAAAATTATATAAACATCATTTAGCAAATAATATATTGAAAATGATCTCAACAAGCCTATTAGTATTATTTAGATGTTTAGGATTGCTTAACTAAATATTTATTTTATTATAATTACTATTATTAGTCTAATGAACTGATCTTACAAATAAGAAATAATATAAAACTAATTAGGCTATTACTAATAATAACTGTATGCAGATAAAAAAAAAATGAATAAGGCTAAGATTAAACTATTTGAGTTAAAACATTCTAATAAGAATTATTTTGCCCATACTGATAATGCTAATACCATAATTATAGTAGTATTACGGCATAATATTGCGTTGTTGTTACTGAATGTTAGTCCTAGCCTTTAGTAGTCTTAGCCTATACTATTACTTTGAACTACTCGATTATTTATCAATGTTGTTTTGACAACTATAAATAAATAGACTTAGGATTCATATAATTTAACAATTCACTTGATTGGTAAATATAAAGACTAATAGTAGAAACTTATGTAATTCTCCGCATAACGCATAAGCTAAACATAAACTCATAAACTCACAAACAATCTACACGCACGATCAATCATCATGGCAACACAGAGACAGTACTGATGTCCGAACTGAATAATTTCAACTATCACCGATTGCGTGTTGCTAAATTAAGGTCATTTTTTTAGTATACTTACCTTGAATTTCTGGCTTTTACCGAATGGGTAAGGTTGTAAATGTGTATCTTAAAATCAAAATATGCTGATGCTTTCGTTTGCAAAATTTCGTTCTGTACACAGAACCACAATCCGGTAAACACACATGAACAACTCGTTTGCGCATGCGCGAGTCAACGGTATCTTGGTTACCCTCCGTTTGGACCAATGAAAATCGGTAAAATAATTATATAAATAGAAGCGAAGAAAATCCTACACACATTTCGCTTGTGGATCCGATTATTTGTAGCAATTATATTTACTGAATTCGATTCTAATATACAAAAAAAAACTGCTTGAATTTACCTTTACGTTGATATATAATAATAGCATATTTTGTTATTTAAAACTAGTTTTTTGAGGTCTCAAACATGGGATACGTATGAATTCTATTTTATTTCCAAAATTAGGTCAATTTTTAGAGTGGGGTGGGGTGTTAAATATCAGTTGTTTCACAAAAAAACTTTTAAAAAGTAGTATAAATTGATGTGTAATCGATTCTAAGAATGTTCATCTTCGTAAAAATGAAAAAATAAAAAAATGGACAATTTTTGAAAAATTTAGAATTTTTTGGGCGCCTACCCCCTTAAATGAAAAATGAAAGGCGTTAGATGTTTTGTTAATTTAAATTTTATAGGTAAGTTGGCACATTTGTAGGTATTTTTTTATTGTTTTTCTGTTGTAATTACTAATTTAACAATTAATAATTTCCTACTCCTACCAAAACTTAACTTTACAAATGTTTTACGTCTATCTTTTTTAGACAATTAATTTACCTACAAAATGTTTTATTACTCATTATAATATGTTTATGATTAAGAAAACTGCAGTTGAATTTGTACATATACACCTGAAAATGAGAAAATGTGACCTAAATTTATTTCGGCCACAGCTTGTTTTTAAATCTGGTAGTTCAGCTGTCTCCAAACTACGGCCCGCAGGCCGCATGCGGCCCACGAGGTCTTTTCATGCGGCCCGCGGAGACCTTTTTGTCTAAGGAAAAAGTTACGGAAATTTACATGTATCCTGCCAAGATCAGACACCGCTTATGTGGATGCTATTTTTTAACCGAATTTAAATAGAGGCGCGCAGTAGTGCATTATGATTTCTAACCGATCATTACTTGGCAAAACCCAATTCGCTACTTAGTTATAATAACGCCACCTAGTGGCGGAGCTTTGCCTGCCGTGTTGCAGACATGGGTGAAAACATTGAGACTCAAACAGCGAAAAATGCAACCAAGTTTCGCCAATTTTTAATTGCTGGACATCTGTTCCACTTCTGAACTGCTTGTATTTGTTAGAGGTGTGGATGAAGACATGAATATAACACAAGAGCTGGCTTCCCCACATAGCATGTACGACACTGTTACTGGAGAGGATATATTCAATGAGTTGAAAAAAAAGTTTGCTGATTATAACTTGGACTGGACTAACCTCAGCTGCCTGACTGATGAGGGAGGAAATAACATGCGTGGCATAAAGAAAGGCTTGGTTGGACAAGTGAAGCAGATGTGTAATGAGAACAAAATTCTGCAACCAATGTTCCTGCACTTTATTATTCAGCAAAAAGCTGTTTGTGCTAAATATGTGGAAATTTAGCAGCGTACTGAATCCTGTGGTAAAGAGAGTTAATTTAATATGGTCACATGGGCTCAACCATAGACAGTTCAGAGACCTGTTTAAAGATACAGACACAGAATAGCAAGATTTACCATATTACACAGCAATAAGATGGCTACGTTATGAGAAAGTTCTGAGCAGAAGATTTAAGTTAAGAAAGGAAATAGGTGACTTCCTGGAAAGTAAAGGCAAGCCACAGCCATTAGTGTCTGATGAAGAGTGGGTATGGAAATTGGTCTTTGCTGCAGACATAACAAGTCATTTAAATTTTCTGAACCTAAAACTACAAAGAGATAAAAATCTAGTTTCTGATCTATACACCCACCTAAAGGCCTTCAGATCCAAACTCATCTTGTTTTTTGGAACAAGAACAGGCCAACAACTTGACGCACTTTCAGCAGTGCAATGTGTTCATGGCTGTAGCAACAGCGGAGTTCCTCACGTTATTTTCATGCAAGATCATCAAAGAACTCCAGCTGCCGTTTTAGCAGCGGTTTTCTGACTTGGATTTAAAGGCAGAAGAAGTGAGACTTTTTCAAAACCTATTTGAAGCAGATGTGGCCAATCGCCTAGATGAACTGCATCTGGAGGTCATTGAGTTGCAAGCAAATGACCTCCTTAGGAACAAGTTAAAAGAACCGGTGGGATTTTAATTAGTTTTCGCCCAAGGAAGACTTTCCTAATTTCAAAACGTTTGCATCAATGTACCTTTCAATCTTTTGAACAAAATGCCTGTGTGAACAAACATTTTGAAGAACGTAAGAACGAAATACGTGAAGAACAATTTGAGAACAAATTTGTCCGATGATAATCTCAGGTCACTGTTGATGACAGTTAGGGACATCAAATCTAAATCCAAAAATGTCTGCTAATCACTGCTATTTTGGCATCCAGGAAACAATTTCACCATTCCCACTATACAGGTGTTCATGTGTTGTGTATCAATGTGTTATTAAATAATAACTGATTGGAATAATAATACATATATAAATCATAAATCAGTTAAGTCCAACTGTTTGTCCTGTTACCCTAATTCCAGTGTTGGCATTCCCCAAAGTGATGTCTCTGTGAGATAACTCTTGGCAAAACCCATGCGGCGGCTAACTACACATTTACCCAGAAACTGGAAGTGGTGCACCAAATGCATTGACCAAAATTTCCCCAAATCTCAAATAACTTATTTAATTTTATCTTTGCATAATTATTAAATATTAATATTTGAAGAGTGAAGAGAAGCCTTATATATTTTTCTTTATCGAAGAGGCTACTACCAAATTGATTTATACCTTCAGATTAAACAGTTTCAAATCAGTATACCTTCAAATCTATTTATAATTTTCAAAGGGATAGACTAGTTGCAGTACAATTTAGTGGGTCTATGATAACCCTTGTTTGACTTTTCCCTGTCTTTTCACATGGATGCAGCTATTTTATTTGGGCCGCAATTCAGATTTCATGCCACTGTTTACGACATTAAATTTGAAATAACTTGAATTATTTATCGAAATTTATGTAAGAGCCGAAATTATATTGAATATGCTTAAATGCTGAAAAAAATATTATTATTTCAATTTGAGATAAAAGGTTGAATAAGACATAAGTGATTGCCTCCACCACATAAACATTATAAAATACCTGTTTTGAGCAAAAGCTATACGCCCCTTTGTAATTTGTTGACGTTTCTGAGAAAACATGATGGCGGCTCTGTCCCAAAACAAACTACAAATTTAAGATTGCCACTTTTAAATGTCCGAATTTGTAGAAAATGGCGAGTGTGTTTGAGCAAAGAAAATCTAACAAAGTTACACTAGATGATACAACTCCGCTATCCTGCTTGATAGAAACCGCGCAGAAAAAAGAAGATCATGTTGTGAGTTTTTTTCCTGGTTTTTATTAATTTTCATACAATACATCATACATAAATTTTAATACCTCGCCATTAATGTATTAGCCATACTGCTAATTAATAATGTGGGCATGGGGCAATAGCAATTTTGGTAACTTTGGACTATCCGGACCATGACATTTCACATGGCCACCATCTTGGTTGCCATGACCCGTGAACCTTTCATGATTTCATGGGTTATCATGGCAACTTAAGACTAAAGGCTAAAGGTGGTCGCTGTGTTAATTAACACAAGTCACATGTCGCTAAAATGGGAGGGGAAAAGGAGAGAATGTGCTAATGTGCTGGTTTAGCTATTTACAGAGAGAAGCGAAAATAGGACAAACATTTTAAAATTTGATGAAAAAATTTCCGTCAGTACTTAAATTTCGAGGTGAACGTAGCTACTTTATTAAGAAGTCTCAACAACCTGCTCGTTTCCCTCAAATGAAATATGTGTGCGGCTACAGTTTCACACCGTGGTAAGAAGACTGTAAAAAAGGTTACACAATACAAAATAATTTTAAAATAATGAAAACCAAACTTACAGTTTCATAGAATACACTTTTTTTACACACATTATTTCACTTTCCACCAAAAAGAAACTCTAAAAGTTTTCAGAAAATCAATATGTACTCTTTTTCCAAATCTCAGCTACACTACAAATCAAAATATTTGATAAATTGTGTTTTAGAATGAACTTAGAAGTCATTTAAAATGAAACAAGAATATTTTTATTTGAGGTTTCAAAACCCGGTAGAGTCCATACTATATGCAAATTTCATTTTGAACGCACTGTACTATATAGTAAAACAAAATAATGTGTTCAAAATGTTAATGTGTGAACTGAAAAAAACATTTGACCAAATTTCCGTTTGATCAAATTTCCGTAAATCAATTTTCCGTTGATCAAATCTCTTTCAACCAAATTTCCGGATACAGATGAGTATTAGTAAACAATTTTGATGTTAGTCTTACTTTGAACCTCAGCTAAATGTCAGTGTGTTGGAAATGCACCAGTTTCATACTTCTCACTTATATGGAAGTGGCCATTGTGCAATTGAAGTTGTTTTCTTATATTATTTTATTTGGAGTCTCAGTTAAATTAAGGTAATCTTGTGTAAGAAAATCATCTAATTCTTGCTTCATGTTGCAATTTGACAAGCTACTTTATAAAGCAAATAACTCATTACATAGCTCTATTACTATTGCTTTATTTAAAATCAGCTGAATGTTCAGCTAATTGACTGTCAATGCATCCTTTGAAAAATTCATTTTCATCATATTTCTCTAGTATTTCAATGTCATAAACAATTCCAGTAAGTCATTGTAGAATGATAACCGTACCAATTGATAAAAAAAACTGAATAAATTGCAGTATACAAAATATGGTTAAGATTAAAATAAAAAATTCTTTTCAGGGTTAATATTGGATCATCTGAATCATCAAAGTAATATTGTCTCTTTTTTGCTGTCTTTCATGAGGGGAAATTGCATTCAATGCCTAGTTCTTCTGCCAATGATTTATCTTTTGTAATTGTTTTAACAAAGACTATTTGTTATGTATTCAATCCCTAGTTCTTCTGTCAATGATTAAGCTGTTGTAATTGCTTTAACAAAAACTACTTGTTATGGAACTCTGAAGATTGACCATTTTTAAAATATATTTTTTTTAAAAGTTAAATTGATTTAAAATCAAGATCTTTTTCTTGAAGCATTTTTCTAGTTATATTGATCATATAAAATCGCAAATGAAAAAACAAACTTGAAATTCAGTAATTTTTGTAGTTGCAATTCCTTTAGCTCCTGCACATGACTAAGTTTCATGTGTTCCAGTTACTGAAACATAATCAGTAATTGAAAAGAGTGTATTGTACATTTAAAATGTTTGGTATTGTATAGCTTTCACAGCATTAACTCCAGTGGCATAGCTAGGGTTAGTGCTGCCAGGAACTGGACAAGATTTTGGCAGCCTCTTCCTTAAAAACAAAAAACAACATGCGGTTGGTAGAAAATGCCTCCTATTAATATAATGATATAAAGAAAATATGCAGCTCTTGGTGGAAGGCTCCCTCCAACCCCTGCAGTTGAACCTGCAGCCTCTTTTACATATTCTAATAATACATTCCTGCGATATTTTGATGCAGGCAAAAAGTTTACTTGTGTATCTTTTGAATTATACTTATACCCCAAAAATGTTACTGCTTTCAACCAACAGTTTGCAGCATCATTAACTACTAAATTTAATAAATACAAATTGCAAGGAACAAATATGCTCTTCGATTTAGCTGTCTACTTACTCATTTTGGCGTTGGAGAAAAACTTTAATTATTTTTTCATAATTTTTTGTTTTATTTTTATTTTCTGGCATTTGCCGCCCCTTGAAAAAATGCTACTCTAGTCAGCCACGTATGTTGCCAATACCTAAAGCAGGCACTGTTTATTTCTTTACTTCCACAATAACAGTATTCCTTTTAATAACAATTTCTCTTTATGCGTCATAATTGGGGCTAAAAATAATACAAAGTAGTTTTTTTTAACCCAGCACTCGGACCAATGATGTTTATTGCAAACACACCAAAGCACTAATGAGTCTGTGGGATTGTATGTACAGGTGTATGCTTATGTTCATAACTTGAAGTATTATTCATTAGCCAAGTCAAAGATTATTCACAAAACTTATTTGTTCACAAATTTGCTTGTTAAATGGTGAGTTCGTTACCCAAGGTGTCACCGTATTTAAAAACTGATTATCTGGTTACACTAAACAAAATTCAATGATGTTTAATAATGATTTATGAATTGCATTCTATCAATAAAGGAATATATCTTACGTGTTCAACGAGGTCCGTTGAGGGATCATTCTTGGCAAGTGACCAAACGCTACAGTGATTTTGAAAAACTTGATGCTCAGCTACGTGTAACTAACATAGAGTTACCTCTGCCACCAAAGAAAGTTTTTGGTAATTTTGACAGAGATTTCATTGCAGAAAGACAAAATGGACTACAGGTATACATTCACAACTCCTTCGTAAAAACTATGTAAAAAAAACCTGAAGTAAATGAGTGTTGTATGTTGCTGTTGACAAAACTACACTGTTTCATCAATAACCACCAAACTTCAAAAGGTTTCCTTGTGCCATTAAATATAGAGTATATTTTATTTTAGATACTAAATTTTTTAATGTAAGATTTTAATTGAGTGTCAAAACAGCTTAAAAGCGGGTCATATTTTTAAAATTAAAGTTTAAATTTATTCTTCACTTGAAACGCACAGCTTCTGTTGTAAGACATTCATATGTATACATTTTTGTATAATCCTGCTTAGGTCTATCTTAATGCCATTACAAGCGTTCCTGTTATTGCAAACAGCTTAATTGTTAAAAAGTTTTTAGATTTAAACAACTACTCCTCCAATTTTTTAGGTAAGTTACCAATGCTTGGTTATTATTATCTGTATAAATCGCAATTTAATTTTTTTTTTCACAAACCTGTGTGTTTATGTGTTATAATCAATTTAACAAGCTCTTCAATATAATTATTACATCCATATTTTATAATTGTCTATTGTCATGAACTTTTATGAAATAATTTTGGTATAACCAGTAGTAAAGATCATTCAAATTATTATGTTTTCTCCAGAGATAGCATTACAACACGTCTCAATGATATTTAGGTCTGAGCCTAACTGGGATGTTATAGAACCACTTCCAGAAATAGGTATTTTAAAGATAGTTTAATTTAAGAAAAATCTAACAGCAAATGGATATAACTTTTTTCTTTAGCACTTTGCAACATTTTTTAAATGATGTTTAGTACTTGAATTAAGGAATTTTAAACAATAGGCAAAATATATTCAAGTAATTTTTTACTCTTACAAAATAGTTCCTTATTATAAAAATTATTTGACATAGAATTGATAAATTAAAAGTCTTAAATGTTTTATTATATATTTAGGATGGAGAATTCGCAAGCATTATATACTTGTAAAGCCAGTTTCTCAACCTAAAGTTCGCCAAATGTTGTCTTGGGTAAGGTAAAAGTGTTTTTATTTTTTGTTGTATAAATTAGATTCTTACGATGAACTTACTTATAAATATTATATTAGAATTTAATCATCATTTTTTTGTGTGAAATTCTAAGAGAAGACTTTCAATATTGATTGGTAGACTCAGTGCGAGTTTAAAAATGTAAAAATCCAACCGTTTTTATGTTTTGTGTAAACTTATCACTTATTTATCTTGCAAACTGCTTTTCAGCATGAGATTATCATTACAAATTAATTTCTGATACTTTTTTTATCATTAACTAAATATTTTCTGCAGACTGAGTATGGCCCTGACATGTATTTGGCAGTTAAGGACCTAAGTGGAATTATAAAGGTTCTCCCCACCATCAAGGCAAGTGATTTGCTCCTTTTTTTTTCTAGTGCTAGCTGTCTGCAAACCCTTAAAAATTATCAATAAAGGATCATTGACTAAACAATTCTGCACATTCTGAACTCTTCATACTTAATCAGTAGCTTGTTGCTTTTTTTTCAGCACCCCTATATTTTCCCTACCCATTTTACCACTGCAAATGAAAATGGAAGCATGATTATACGCGACTTTCTGGAAGGGGGAACATTGCGAGACGTAATCTGTAAATGTAAATCAAAAGGAACCTACTTAAAAAAGTATTCAAACCCAAAAGCTGTCACTTCTTTGGATTTTGGAACTGTGAAAATATTTGGAAGACAAATCTTAGAAGCTTTAAAATTCCTTCAAGACAAGGGGTTTCCGTATGGTAAGGAAATGATTTTTTATTTTCTCCCCAAAAATCATTCTGTAGAATTTTCATTTTTTAATTTTAAATTAATTACATATTTTTTTCTGAGAATTTTTGTTTTGGTTATCACTAAGTTATTTGATTATATTTTAATAATACCTTTAAAATACCATTCAGACTCCTTTTACTTTGATTTTATTTTTTAAAAGGAAAATACAGTTTAAATATTTACAAAAAATTGCTATAAATCATTTCAGTGACAAGTACCATTAAGTTGCCTTTAAAATGGACTGACCTATTTAACAATTGTTTGGGAACTAGATCTTTTATTGTAATTAAAAAATGGATCATGTTTGTCTTCCAGGACATCTTCATGCAGGCAATGTAGTGGTGGTTAATAATACATGTCAGCTGTTGGAGCTAGAGAACAGTGTGATGGGCCTGCCAGGATACTATCGGGCCTTCTACATACAGCTAAAGAAAGTGCAGGTGTGTAGTTGGAAATGAATGAAAGAGCAAAAAGAGGTATGTGGAAGCTTGAATAAGAGAACAGGACAAAAAACCAAGACATTTCGGGATAAAGCCTTCTTCAGCTAACAATAACAACATAACAATGTTATATTTTCATTTCTATTGTTAGCTGAAGAAGGCTTTATGCCGAAATGTCCTTGTTTTTTGTCCTGTTCTCTTATTCAAGCTTCCACATACCTCTTTTTGCTATTTCATTCATTTACTAAGCTTGAATGCGGTCCTTTAATTTATATTTTGTAGTTGGAAATCATATTAGACAATGAAAACACACAACCATGATACACAAAGAAAACAGATGAGATTAGAAATAGATTCAGTTCTTGTCCATCTTGTCAACATGTCCTCTATTTTATTTATTTATCTTCTAAATAAAACATCATTGGCTAATCTTCCCACTGAGAACAACTGAGTTCAGGGAAAGCCTGTTTCAGAGAATTATTTCCTTGTTACATCTTAAGGCTTATCTTGTGATACTTGAAATATAGAGGAAACCAACTCATTAATCCATATAAAATATGAAAGTGGAAATTGTAAGTGAACAATATGTATATTACCTATTATTATTATGTCATCGATATATTTACCTCTATGTACACATAAAGATTAAAATAAAAATATGAAAAAATACATCTGTTTTAACTAGTTGCTCATAAAATCACTTGTCTGTCTTCCTGGTGGGTGCATTGGTTTGTCCAACTTGTATGCAATTTATATTTAATGTGGCTATAACATATTCATTAGAGGAACTTATTTTTAAACTTTAATCTAGCAAGATAGCTTATTTGTCATGAAAATGCTAAATAAATGTTTAAAAATTTTAACTCAAGTAAGTGTTTAAAAAGGTTACACTTACCTTTGATAGAAATGTTTACATTAAAGTTGTTTTTGCTGTGCAGACCCTGGAGATGGTAGATGTTTACACTTTTGGACAATGTCTCTATGAAATGGCAATGGGATGCCAGCTGACTACACCCACTTGTGATACTTTCCCCGTGGAATGTCCTGCACAGATTCGTGAGTAGCCTCTATGCATGAGTAGTTAATTAAGTCAAGAGGCTGGGCCATTTCTTGATCATCTGCAAGTGAACCAACCATACGAATTTATTTAAAAAAGAATATGATATTCTGAAGGCACACTCTTCTTAATATAAGCACAGTCCAGTAAAAGCCATTTCAATTTGAAAATTTTGTTACTTCTTTTCTAATTGTAAACGAAACAAAAATTTATAAGAGAAACATACATTTAAAACCTTCAAGTCCCCCACCGTTGCAGATTATTATCTTTTCACTTAAATCAAAATATTTTTTTGTGTTAAAAGAACTTGCTTTTTTTTTTTTTTGGCTACACTCAACATAGGTTCTGTCCTGGAGTCTATACTAACAACAGAGGCCTGTAAGAATGGTCTTCCTTCTGTTACTGACCTCCTGTCTCATCCGTAAGTACAACTGTCTGTCAAGGGTATGAGAATCACTGTTGTTATGTGTAGATCATTGTTTTCATGTTTGATAGGGAAAAGATGTTTAGTTAGAGATTTTATGTGTAGCTGTATCGTGGGTGTGAGAGTGTTGTGACGTAATTGTGTAAGGGGATATGACGCGTTAGTTTTTCATTGTTGTTGGAGAACAGAGATGGCCGTTGTGCATTGTCAAGACATAGCTTCTTGTGTGATGTTTCTATGTGTGAGTATTTCAACTAGATAGACTGTCAAGTTGAACGTTTACAAGCTGTATAGTGAAGTACACTAATTGTCATGTTGAAGAGACATGTTAAACTTATATATTGTAACGAACCGTGGAGTGTTTGTTGAATTGGAGACTATTACTATTGGTTGTGCTGTTCGGGGATCAAGTGGGAGACTTGGCTGGATGAGTAGACACTCATTGCCATGAGCGGATGATTTGAAACACAACAGATACAACGTCTCGACACTGTCACGTGTGAAATTTAAAGTCTGAATAACATGTAATTGTGCGAGTTTTTATTAAATTTCATTAACTTTTCTGCATGCGCTAGTTTTTGAGGTCATCTTAAATTACTTATTAAAAGCCGAAACAGTTTCTTGTTAAACTAGAACTTTTAGGAAAATGAGAGGAAATTTCTCATATTTAATGTGATAGAGCCAGTTTTGTAGCACACAAAAGTAATACTTCTAATTCATTCTGCGTGCCAATAACTTATAAGTCTACCATTTAAGACAATTTTTTTTAGTCATTTATAATTATCTGTTTAGTCTTGCCAATAAAAGTCCTCTGAGTGCATATTTTGGCACTCGTGCCATAGGTTGCCGGACCCCTTGACCAACTCACTGGGAAGATAACACCTTTCCCCCTTAATAATTTCACCAAAGAGCCTGCTTTTCTATTTCAGGCTTTTTAGTGATGTGAGCCTGCCACCGCAGGTTAGCAAACCTGTGCTTAAAATACCTAGCAAATTGAAAGAGTTTGTCAAGTCCTCTAAAGAAGAGATTGAAAGCAGGCTGAAAAGTGATCAGAAATTGGTATTTCTTGTTATCTTTTTAAAAAATTATCATATGTAACTGAAGAAAAATCTTAATCACTTTATAAAATGTAATTATAATACTTCAACTGCCATGCCCTAAAAATCTTAGAATATTTGTTTAGCCAAGAGATATTTTCTGTTCTTGTTAACTGACCTTTTTAACTGTCCATTTTTGTTAACAATTTGACATTTTTTATGGCTTTAATTCAAATTACAATATATTTCAGCTGAAACAAGTACAGAGGATTTCAAGGGCAAAAGAGTTCCACATGTCTGAAGAGGAAAAAAAGAAACGAAGAAAATCTAGAAAGGTATTTGGGGTAGATAATTCTATTTTTTACTTACTACTAATACTAATATTGTATTAATTTTAATTTCTGTACACATTTTTTAATGAATTATTTGTTAACCAATAAAGGTGAACATTTTTGGAAAAGGATAGCAATGTAGGATTTATATTGATAAATGTTATTGTTTTATTTTTGAAACTAGAAGTCAATTACGAATGGATCATTTCAAAATGAGATTCAGTATTTCTATACATAAATAAGACTTAAGTCATTACATAACCATAATAAATGTGTTGTATATATTTAGCTAAGAAAACTGCTGAATACTTGCTAAATTAAAACTTGAATAATTTCCCAGAAGGCTCAGGAAAATGGTGGAACAGACAGCGTCACATCCAGCACACCTTCTGTGTCATCTCCTCCACCTACACCGACCACTCCTGGTCCTAGCAGTAAGTACTTTATAAGATTTAGTTAATTAGGAGGACAGCATTACTGAATGCCTACCACAACAATTTGCTGTTGTTCACCTTACTTTACAAAAACATAGTGGGACTTAGTTTTAATTGTATCAACCGAAGATTTATTACCCAGCCAAAGCTACTTTCAAATATTTCAATTAACGTTGTAATAAATTGAAACAAATTTAAATTTTTAATTTCTAGTTATTTGAGTAACAATTACTCATACTAAAGCATATTATTAGCAACTGATCCTATCCAGCTATTATAATGAACCCTTTGAATGAAAATGAAAGAGTTACAAAAAATATAGCGGGAATGTATTTGAGTTGAGACATAATGATGTTCTCTGGTATTTGATGTACTATTGTAGATGTAACAATAGATATGCTCACTGATATCACAAGCTTGCAGAGCACTGAACGTTGTACAAGCTTTTATTATTTAAATAATGAAAAAAAAATAAGAAAAAAAATAGGTGTAGCAGATCGATCACAGAGCAAACTGAGATGTGCCAGTCTTATACTGCCTTTATATATTTCTATTTATGTGACTTTTTGTCTCAACCTCACAGGTTTATTTGTATCCTTGGTGCTGTTAGATCTGTTATAAGAACACCTTTATATTTGATGCTGTTAGATCTGTTATAAGAACACCTTTATATTTGATGCTGTTAGATCTGTTATAAGAACACCTTTATATTTGGTGCTGTTAGATCTGTTATAAGAACACCTTTATCCTTGGTGATATTAGATCTGTTTTAACTAAATCTTTTTCCTTGATGCTTTGAGATATGTTATGAGTAACACTGGAGTTTGACTTTTTAAAAAGGAATTAGAAATAACCCGCCAAACAATGGCGGCGGCAATGCGTGAACTTCCCACCTCTTAAAGTTATTTATTTTATCAAATTTAAAATGAATTCGATTTCTTTAAAATAAAACGAATCTTATCATTTTTTTAAAATAATCCCATTTAGAAATAAGAATTTTATCTTGTGAGCCCAATGAACATAAATTTGCATGCTTTTAAGTGTAGTTATTGGGAGTTATATTTTGCGAGCCTATTTAACACAGTGTTACAGCCATACATACCTAGAGAAATATTATTTGTGTTTTGCCTTTAATTAACACTTTGGGACTTCGAAAATTCTATATCTTGCCAATGCTTACTGTGTTGACCCTTGTAAAAAATAGTCGGACCCATTTATGAACCATCAGAGTTAACTATTTGACTCACATTTTAAATTATTTCATGAAAGTGGTTGGTCAAAACTAAAAGTAATACATACAGCAGATCTCAGTGTACCAAACATCATAAAGGCCATCAATCAAAGAAAGAATTCTTATCAGCACTGACACATCTCTAGTTTAAGGCAAAGTTGTTAATGAGGAAAGTTCCAAGACAGCCAACTCCAAATCATAGCATACACTTAAATCTCATTTGATGAAGCTTCATCTCTTTCAATGTGAAACAAGGGCTTTAAAGATTACATTTGCTTGTTTGGATCAGTCAGATGCGTCATGTAGAACATCACTATTCAAGTTTATAAATTATAATACATTCTGGACAATATCAAGAATTTTTATCTTGAAATTATTTTATTATTTGTTTCAAAGTTCTGCCCAATCATATGTAACCAAAGAATAATTTGTTGACATGTTATTGATTTGACAGACAAATTGCATAACAATGGGTGTAGTTGTATTTAGTTATGTATAAAACAAACTTTTAAATCAGGAATGAGCAGATTACAGCTAATATTCTAGTGAATTTGCATTTTCATGCAGACATAATAATTGGTTTATTTAACGCTGCACAGTTTATACTATCACATAGTTATTTGCTGATACACAAAAAAAATAAAAAAATCACACTTTATACCATCACAAAGTGATATCGAATTTGGAAAAAAAAGGGACCATCTTAATAAACCAACAACAATGGTGAATAAACCACAGGAAGTGCTGGATTAACTTAAAATTAAAGATTCTTGTCTGTAAAAATAAGTCAACATGCCCTAATTTGTCTTTTGGGTTATTTTAGATACTTAATTGAATTAATTGTGTTTAAGAGTATTTGAAGACAAAATTTAAATACCACGAAAAAGTATACACATAATTTAAATTCAAGGATTTAAAGATAATGAAAAGTAAAATTCATCTATTTCTAAGTTACCTTAAGTTTTCGTTTATGAGTGGAGTTGTTATTTATTTTTGGGCAGCGGTTTATTAGACTAGTATATTTATGTTTCAATCTCTTTTACTTTCATTTTTAATTCCCCTTACATTCTTACATTATGCAATTAAAATAAAATAAATATTACTTACTTTCTTCTACTAACGTTTTAAAAACCTTTTAATTTTTTGTGCTATGTGCTACCTCAGAAGTTCCTTGATGAACCGATGCCTTTCAATTTTCCAGGGATAGTGTTATATTAGGTACTTTTTTTGTCTAATTTCTTGTCTATGCTAAGCTTAACCCATCATATTATGTAGAAGTTGGGGAAATATGGTTTAAACTCTAACTTTAGAGTAGTGCCCCCAGGTAGAATTGCCATTTAACTTAAAATTGATGTATTCCTTTTTTGGTTTCTAGAGCATGCACTCTCTTCTGTCTTTCACCACATTTTTATTTGGTTTTGTCCGCTTGCAGTAAACATTCTAAAGCTCTGCTCTTATTTTATGATTGTGAGAAATGGCTTTCTTTGTATCTAAATGGAGGGTTGCAAGGACAGATCTTGTATGAATAATTTTTGAAAGTATACTTCTAAGTAGGTGAATGATTTTACAACTAAAAGTAGCAGGTTATTTGTAAACCTATCAGCCTATCATATCAACAAAATTGACTATTTTATTATAGTGCAGTTATAAATTATTGGTATTTTATGTATGCATTTGATTAATGCAGAAACTCTGAGCGACAAACAAAGCTATTGTCTGTTACCTTGTCACAGTATGTTGACATGCAGAAAGAAGGGAACCCTGCTTACAATATTCTCTTTTTTATTTTTGTGCACTTTTTACAAGCAATTTTGGTTAGTTCAAATATTCTATTTTTTACAAACATTTACATACATTTTTTTCTGATATGAATGCATTTTTTTCCTTTACACCAAAGTTCCTCAATAGTTATCAAGAAAAAGCTTTATTAAATAATGTATCAAAGTTCTAGAAGACAAAACTATTCTCAAGTTGTTCTGTTTTTTATATTTAAGACTAATCCAATGATTGGTGCATTCCTAGTGCAATTACACAATTTATTAAGTGTAAAATTTGGCTTAAATTTTATAAGCATTTATTGAAATTATTTGGTTTTATAAATTGTAACACTCATCTACTTGAAATTTAGTTCTGGCAACTGTTAGTAACAGGAAGGAATTTAAAAAAGAATGCTGAATGATCTTCAATGAGCTCGTTTCGTAGCTTAGAGGGGTTTTGTTAACTTTGCAGCATATAAAATGTAAACACAGTAATTAATAGATGATCACAGTTGAATTACAAAGCTTTTCCTTGTTCACAAATATTAAAAGTTGTATTTCAGGCCATAAAAATTTGACTTAAATTATGTTCAATTGACTGCACTTCTGTGATCCCTTCACTCTTTCTGTGTTCTTATTTATATTGATTGTTTGAGAGTTCAGTATTGTAACTCTATAACTGAATACATTCACAATGATTATATCACTTCTTCTTCTTAACAGATAGCACTGAAGTATGAAAATGAAGTAAAAATTGCACTAAATTATTTTTTAAGGGTAAAAATGGATGTAAGTAATGGAAGCAAAATGAAACTGATACTTTTACATTTGGTACTTTTACATGTGGTTAGAAACATGCATGAATTAGAATTGTAATCCATGTTAGTCGTTTTATTTAGAGAGTGTAATCTACCTTACTAATGTGGCAAGGCTGTTACAAACATTTTCCTCGCTAATAAGGCTATATATAAAAATGAACAATTTCGGAGAAAATTTCAGATTTTTTACCTTGACCTGTGCATAGTAAAGGACCAACTTGTCAAGATTAAAACATTTCTTTACAGCTGATTGATCTGTGGACAGTTTTATTAATAAAAAAAAATAATAATTTCCCACTGTTTGAAACTGTGATCCCACTTTACCTTGACATTGGCAGAGGGTCACCTGTTAAATTAGAATTGTAGAGATAACTAACTCTCTTTTACTTTCAGTAACAACATAATTGTTCATCTGTTAATGTAATATAGCGCATGAAATTCATTCTACTCTACAGGCAGGCATGGGTTCCATCATAAATATTTACTGATAGATTCATTCCAAACATATGTTACTCTTTGAAATATTTTGCTTCATCAATAACTTCAATGTCTTAAGCTCCAAACTGGATATAAAAAATATTTTAAGTACAATTATGTTTTGGAATCTGTAATAATATTAATACATATTTCTAATATTCAATGTTAATGATGAGCTGTTAGCAAATAATGATGGAAAGAAAAAAAATAGACTTGATGCTCATTTGAAGATTTAAAAGATTTTATTAAGATTTTCTATTAAAAAAATTGCATTTGAAAACTGCAGTTAAAAGCAATGATTGTATCACTATTTTTAGCTACAGAACATTAAAGTATTATTGTTTGTTATTTTTGCTAGACCATTTTTTGGTTTGATGTTCACTCAATTCCGTAGAGCCTCAGGGGGAAACATATTTTCAGCAAAAAAAAAGTAACTTCTGTGGGGAATCAAAAGTTAAATTCCCCCCACTATTTATAAATCATGAAATACTACTAAATAAAATAAAATGAAGAAAAAAGCTGTTTAACCACATGAAAAATTTGACATTACTTTTCATTAACAAGCTGCAGAAAATGTTGGTTAAATTCTTGTACTCAAGGCACATGTCATTGTTGCCTTTTAATTCAAATAAACAAATTGGGACTGTATTTTGACTTAATGAATCCCATTATAGAGAATGCTAACTCACAGAGTCAAGTTTATCTAAACATTGAAATTCCCAGTGGCAATGTTTCAAAATTCCTGTCAGTCAACAGTTTTCCAGATTTCTGTGATTGAAGAATACATCTGCACATTCAATAGTCTAGAAAGGGTGGTGTGGTCTACCCCAGATCGCACTTTTTAAAAGATACTGAGGGGCAGCATTCTTGACCAAATGAATGAGTTTATTGTGGGGGCACACTAATTCTTACTTTGCCACTTTGTATATTAAAAAGTTATGGACCGCTGTGTAGAATTAACATAGCATTTTTGAATCTACAATTGTACAAAATTTTTTTTAAAAAGAAGACTTTCTATCAAAGAGGAGTTATTAAAAATTAGAAAATAATTAAACATTTCTTACAATGCATTATGCAAAGAAAGACTGTGCAGAAGTGTAGATGAGCACTCTATGAAACTAAAGGAATCTAACTCAATGTGGACAAACCTTAAATATGTTTTACTTTTATTAATTTTAGAAAATATTTTTGCATCTTTAAATTATCAACAAAAGTAGAATTATTTACTTATAAACATCGAATGCGTACAAAATCCCAGTTAAAGTGACCTCTTTGGCTAGACTAGGCATAAAACTAAAAAATAGATCTAAGCTCAACCATTCTCTATAATAATTTAAGCGACAGTATCAACCCCCCTCCATCAGTATTCTTTTCCAGGCCATTCACCTGGTGAACACTGCATGAGAAAGACTCTGTCTAAAAATTTCATGTGTGTAATTTAAAAATTACGTTCAACATAAAAGATGGATATGTGAGGAGAAAGTCTTTTTAAAAAATATAATTTTTTTTGTTTAAGAAATTAAATTTTTTAATTGCATTGAAATTAAAAATATTATTATAAAAAATTATAGTTTCAAATACTTTTGTCATTTTATTTACATCTGTATTTTCCTTACAGGTCCACCTCAACTGGCCCCTACACCACCATCTGTAGTTCCTCCACCACCACCACCACCACCCACTGGGGCACCGCCACCACCACCACCCCCTCCTGCTGGTGCACCACCTCCTCCTGCTGCATCCGGAGGACCTCGCTCGGCCCTGCTCAGCTCAATAACAAGTTTCAGTAAAAATGGGCTGAAGAAAGCTGAGACGAATGACAAAAGTAAACCTAAAGTATAAGGGTCATCTCCCTTATGTGAACCTATTTGTAAAAAAAAAAAAAAAAAAAAAAAACAAAGGGAGGCAATTTATGTGTTGCCAACAACAAGTTAACACTTGTAAATAATGATTAGATAGAAGAAATCGGGGATAACATTTTATAAATGAGATTTTCAGAGCAAATTTTAACCTTGTTACACAGCAAGCTTCTAATTTTTAATAATAAAATCCAATGCCATGATGTCAAATGTTCTCTGATGGACTTTTAAATTAAGTAAATACAGGGCCAGCTGGTCTAATGTATGGTACATTAGCAACAATTGAAGTTCTTGAAGTTACGTATCATTAATATTTTAATTGGTTCAGAATGAAAGATTTAATGAGCCCATTCTTTGGTGGAGAGTGGTCAAAAAGATTAAAGAGATTTTGTGCCATTGCACAACAACAGAATGAACAGGCTTCAATTGCCAATTTTAAATTATTTAATCCTCTTGATAAATATAGTATCTTGTTACAGTTTAAAAAAATATTTAAATTCTAATACTCAAATTGAAAATCTCATAGAACTTGTTGGTTGTTGTAAGGATGAAATATATACAAAGTTATGGCTACAGAACTCCTTAATTCTAACTTTCTGTCAGGAAATTTAATGGCAAAGATGATTTGACCATTCATAATATTTTATTCATAAGAATGATTCATTTAAATGTATCGACTTTAAGCATCTTAATATATAAAATATTTTCATTCCTAATTAATATATATTTTTCTTTAAAAAGTTTATAAAAAGGAAAATGGAAATTTTTAAAAACATATTTTCAACTTTGATTATTTATTGATACACAAAAAATGTATTTTGTATGTGAAAATTATTTTAAGTGAAATGATTATGTTCTAATAAGAATGACAAGTTCAACATGTGAAGTCCAAGTCACAATTTTGTTTACTAAGTCTTGAGCACTTGCTAAAACTTTTGGGTTCTGTACATCACTCTTTTAGAAATGGTTTATTAGACTTAGAGTTTACTAATGTCTAGGGTCACCAATCAACATCTATTCTTTTTTGAGAAATGGTATTTAGAGTTTAGTAATGTGCATGATCATCATCCATTCTGCACAGTATTGACATTTACATCATCTTCTGCTAAATTCATTTTAGCCTTGAAAATGGTTGTGCCAATAATAAAATAAAATGCATCTAAATGAGGCTCAATAATACGTAAATTCTTTTTGGGTAGAGATTTTCATTTTATTCAAAATAATCTATTTTGTACTACTCTTCTATAGAACTTATGTGTGGACACTATTTATGGTTTAACATGTTTGAATTACAGCCATGTAACATTTCTTTTAATCAATGCTTCTAACATTTACTTATAAAAAATGGGACATAAATACTATTTTACTCCTTGCATACATTACAGTTGCTGTTCAAGAACCTCATATATGTAATAGATATTAGTTGTCTGAATATTTCACACCTGTTAGAAGTGATAGCTTCATGCTTAAACATATAATCTGCAACAACAATCGCAAGATTTGTTTCACTGCCAGATGAAATAGAAAATTATTTTTTTTTCTCACTTCAGTGTACATTAAAAAAAGAAAATTTGTAACGAAGGCTGTGTACCTTTTTCAACAAAGAAGTAGACTTAATTTTTTAACAAGAAAAGGGCAATTGAAGATGTAGCATTGAGGTTGCTTTTCAATATCACAAGTTGTTTGCTTAATTCCTAAAAAAAAAATCAGAATGTTTCCTTGTCAATACACCATTATATTTGACACTTTCTTAGAGCTTAAATATAATAAGATGAGCTCAAACAATGTGTTCAAGCTTAATTCAAAAATAATTTAACTTGTGTCAAGAGATAAATGAACCACATACTGAAAAACAATTTTACATTTTAATGAAGTTCAACCATGTAGAACTACCAATAAGGTTTTTTTTTTTTTTTATTAGGTGACTTTAACCAATGAAACACATTTTAACAACCATAATGCATTCTGAAATTTAAACATTGCAAAAGCTCACTTTTAATCCCTTAAATTTGTGTGTTTATTTCAATACTTTTTCATTCTTTGTTTTTAGAAATCGCATCAATATTTAAAAAAATACAGATACTTCATCAAAGAGTACTATTTGCAGTTAATATCTAATGTTCCATGTCTGGGTTGTGATCTTTACATTTTTCTGGAATCAAACTGGACAGTTTGCCGATGCTTGTAAAGTATTCTAAATAACAAAAACTTGACATCTCTGTAAAATCATTTTTATGTGACCATATTATATCATCTGATATTCAAAAGCATTTATTTATTCACAATCCTGTTTTAATTTATGGTTATTGTTGATGCTTTGTATTATTATGAGCAGCAGATAAAACAAAAAGTTAAATAAACCTTGTATTTCAATGTTGTTCATTGATTCTTTAATACAGATGATATTCTCCTGTGGACAAAACAGTTCATGTTTTTAGTCTTAGCAATTGTTGCTTTAATGCTCCAAGCTTGGAAGTGATAAATTTGAATGTCTTTTTTTTCTGTGATTTCTTCCCTACAAATTTCTCTAGTTTTATTTTCATATTGGTGCATAATCCCTGATAGTTGCATTTTATAATGGCTCTTAAGAAATTATTTAAAAATTCCCATTCATAATATTTATCAATTTTGTGGAGTTCAAAAACAAAAATTCTTTTCTGTTAGATTACAGAAAAAAATCATCATATTTTATTCTTGTATGTTCTAATGGAAAAAACATCTCATTGCCACATGTTGATATAAGGTTATAAAAGAATGATTACTCATCCAACTGGTAAAAAGTGTGTTTTGTGTGTTATATAGTTACATGTCATAATACTTGAACAAGGCCTCTGATCTAACGGGATACAATTCTCATATTCACATTGCTGGCTTTGCATTTCCACTCGTTACTTTAAAAAGGCATTATTTTTATTATTTTTACTTTTTTTTTTCAGTTTCGTTAGAAGTGAATGGATGCCAACTTACACAGTCATTGGGAATAATCATTTAACATTTAGTTCACCTATGAAGATAAACTATGTGACAAGTTTTCTTCAGCTGCTGTCTTAAAATATGAACTTGATATAAAATTACCGGTATTTGAATTTTGTTCCATGAATGTCCCAAATCAACATTGCTGATTGTTTGTCAGACATCATTCCAATTCATTAATATGTTGACTAATGTCCTTCAAAGATAGGGCCACTTTTAGGGCTCCTGTTTCTAAAATGTTTAGATGATTGTTGATGTCAAGGATGTTTCACGGAATCAGGAGAAATTTTTGCATTTATAACGAAACAATTTCTTCGCAATGTTAATTTTTAAACTTTGCTTTATTTTTGGTTTGGTGGTGAATTGTTAAATGACCAGGAGATGTGGCCCTAAGTGTGGCTTTTGTTGATGTAAATAATCATTTTATTGGAGTATTCAGTCAGAGTTTGGTTGACTAGCTAATTATATGTCTGTGCCTAAACTTCCCTGTTGTACACATGTGTCTACAAGTCACCAGCCACTTGGTCCAATATTTAAGATCTTCTAAATAAATGTGGTCCTAACCATCTTTAACTACATCCATACATCCAAGTTTGGGAAGTTCCTTTTCCAAGTCTACAAACAAAATGTTAAATATAAATGTTTCATATTTCATAATGTCTAGTTGGGAAATGTTATTGAAAGAAAAATGTGTGATAACCTGTTACTGAATAAATTGACATGAAATGAGTTCTGTTCTGTTCTGCTTTGCTTATTATTATACCCAAACATAGATTTTATGTTTAAAATTTGCACGATATTAAAAACAGTACAAAGACATTTTGTTTAGATTAACTTAGAGACTATGAGTTCCATGTTTTCAAAAACATCTTACTATTAGTCATCTGATATGTCTCATATTTTATAAGGAGTTATACAATTGGAATTGTAGATTTTAAAACAAAAATGAAATTATACAAAATTCTGTATGTTCAATGGATTTTTGGCACACAATTTAAATATGGATTATATTAAAATTTAGAAATTATTGTACTCAACAACAAAAACACATTTTTAAAAATTTCTTTACCTACATTTTGACACATGATGTCACATATTGTGACATCAAATAACATTTTGTCACAGGTATTCATTTTTGGTCACATTTCGTCACACCAAAATCAAGTCACACTTTGTCATTTCAAGTAACATATCGTCACATCAAATCTCACCTTGTCCCATCCAGTTCACTTTTGTCACAGTAAGTTTTACAAAGGCCTGAGACATCAACTCAACATTTTAATTTGTTCACAAATTCTTATTTGTCCACATCAAAGTTTGAATAGATTCTTACAACAGCTGAAACAAAACTTTGAGAGTTGCAACATCTCAAATTGATTATCACTGTCTTTGTAATTACTTACCCGTCCAACGTTGAACATTGTGTCATTACTAGAATCTAGATGGTTTTATTCTGGAGATTGGAAGAAATTATTGCAAGAAGCAAATGCAAAGGTTTAACAAAATTGTTCTAGAAAAATATGCTGGGTAAATTCTCTATATCCAGATTATTCAGTAAATTATATCATTTAATTCCCTTGATTAGCCTGCGCCTTCTATTATTTACTTCCCCTGATAAGCCTACCCCATAAATGTAACTGATGAAAATGTTGTTCATTTGTTGTGATTCTGTGCCAGATTAAATATATTTCATTATTACTTTTTAATCATTGTATTTTGAGTGATTTAAAAAAAAGTGTTCTTTTAAGCCAAATCAAAGGTTGAAAGAAGTAATCTTTGGGAAAATATTTATTGTTAAAGCTGGAAAATCCCACTGGCGTGTTCAAGAAATTCTTGTGAAATATAAAAGTACAAGTATAAGGGATTTGGAGCAGGCTTTTTTGCTCAAACTCTGCTCCGTACAAAAATTTTTGTCAGCTCTGCTCCGGGTCCGAGCTCAGGAAAATGTAAAAAGGAGCAGGGACAGTTGACTGGGGTGTGCTAAGTGTTTAAAGAAATGTTTATTGATTTTATTAACTCAGCTCAGTAAGTCAAAGAGTTAGACAACATAGTTGTGAATGAGTGGGGCAACAGAGCTGGCAGAACAGTGGGGCAACAGAGCTGGTAGAACAGTGGGGCAACAGAGCTGGCAGAACAGTGGGGCAACAGAGCTGGTAGAACAGTGGGGCAACAGAGCTGGTAGAACAGTGGGGCAACAGAGCTGGCAGAACAGTGGGGCAACAGAGCTGGTAGAACAGTGGGGCAACAGAGCTGGTAGAACAGTGGGGCAACATAGGTGAAAGAGCAGGGAGAAACATTGCTGGTAGAAGTAGAAGNCAGAGCTGGTAGAACAGTGGGGCAACAGAGCTGGTAGAACAGTGGGGCAACAGAGCTGGTAGAACAGTGGGGCAACAGAGCTGGTAGAACAGTGGGGCAACAGAGCTGGTAGAACAGTGGGGCAACATAGGTGAAAGAGCAGGGAGAAACATTGCTGGTAGAAGTAGAAGAGTGGGGCAACACAGATGGTAGAAGAATAGGGCATCAATTTCAATGAATTACTTTTTAAATTTAAAAAGTTCAAATTATATATATTTTATAAATATATATTTTATATACGGTACATAATGTATTATATATTTCTTTTTAAAAATAATTATATATACATTTTGGAGCGCGAAGCAGTATATTTTTTTACCAGCTCCAGGTCTGTGCAAAAAGACCCTGCTCCAGAGCTCC